TGTGTAGAATTGGGAAAGCAACGTTTCCACCCCCCAAATCCATGACCATGTGTGGTTCCAATAGGGCAGATCATTTAATCAAGCTGAGATAAAAATATGGGCTTTTATAGTTAACAGAAGTTACAGGGACACGGGAAGCTGTGTTACACCAAATCAGAGTTTGGGTCCATCTAACTCAGGGCTGCCTGCAGTGACTGACAGCAGCTCTCCTGCCCAAAAGAGGTGGGCTTGAGCCTGGGACCTTCTGCATGCAAAGCAGATGCTCTCACATGGAGTCATGGTCCTTCTCCATAAGGGAAGGTTCTTCATCCATGATGTGAATCTAGCATTTCCAGGTTTTGCAGCTTCTATGGCAGACAAACAAATCAGTGAAAGTCAACTGAACTTCCTTACCATGTTAATTCAGAGCAGCGGGAGAAAGCCAGAGGCATTTGTTAAATTGCAGAACTGCTCCAGAGCAACGAAGCTATGAATGTTTAGTTGACGTCATGGGAGCTAGCCCAGCAGTGCCCATCATAGGATATGCTGCAAATTTGTAGGGCTGTGGGGTATTTTCCCTGCCCCTGCCGCCCCCACCCCCTGATGCTCATTTCCAGAGTTCAGCTCTACTGGGGAGGAAAAGGTATTGTTGTAAGACTGAGCATCTGGACAGCAGAGGCATAACACAGCCAGATGGAACTTTGTTAATTGTATGTTGCCAAGTTGCCAAGTACATCTGTTGCTAGGGAAGGTGCTGGTGATTGATCTCAATAGCAAGGACTTCCCCAAATCTCCTGAATGGGACATAAAGGCATATGTTCCCCTTTCAAGTATGACATAGGCGAAAGGGTGGCATAATCTAGGTCTCTCTCTCTCTCTCTCTCTCTCTCTTTAAAGAAACATCTGTTTGAATGGGGAAGTGAGACTGAGGGCATTCCCAGGCCATTGCCGTTTCTGGCAAATTCAGGTTGCTCACTTAAAGATGATTTATCACCAGTGCAACAAAGCTGCTTCACTGCAAAATAGACTTTTTGCAAACAGGGAAGTGAAGGGAGAAACATGTGGTTTCTTGATGCAAACTTCCCGCAGACAAGACAGATCGAATGCTCAGTAAATAGCTGTAGCCATTTAACCTCCCTTCAAACTTCGTGCAAACAAATCAGGACAAATGGAGGCCAAGTGGAAGCAACCCGGGAGAAATTCATTTAAGGCTCTGTAACCTCTGGAAAGTGTATTTAGGAGTGCTGACTGCTTCTCTAGTTGGGATGTGCTGTTGGACAGTTCAAGATGTAAATAAGTTCACTCTGTAAATAAACACAATCATTACTGAATCCCATAAGCCTTCAGTGATCTATTTCCACAGGAAACTTAACCTGGTCTAAGCAATGGACCTCTGGAACATCTTGTTCCTCAGGGACCTAGGGGTGAGCCTAAGAGCATGTTTAATCAAACTGGGAACAACTTCTAAGGTGATCCTTTAACTTAGGGATAGCCAGTGTTATGCCCTCCAGATGTTGTCGAGACTACAACTCCCATCAGCCCCAGCCAGCATGGCCAGTGGTCAGGAATAGTGGGAGCTGTTGTCCAACAATATCTGGAGGCACCATATTGGCTTTCCCTGCCTCAGGTATTGTGTGGCTTCCTTCCTGTATAAGCCTGCCCTGGATAGTAAGACTTGCAGGGAATAAGCAGTAACCAAAGGATGCTTCAATAGCAACTGTCTGGATTGAGTGTGGATTTCTGGTAGACATTAAAGACCTGATTTACAGATCCTGGTTCCTCCTGGAACCCATTGTAAAGGGATTATGCGAGTCTCACAAACCACACACATGGAGGGCTAGTGTGGTGCACATCAGTATGGAGGAGGGGGCTAGACCCAAAAAGATTCTACTCTCCACTTTTTACACTCAGTAAGAATCCCATCAGATGTTGCTTGAAATGAGACCTTCAGGGAATCCTTCCTACTTTTGACTTGTATTTCCTACATTGATGTGACGAAGAGCTGTAGCTCTGATTTACGTGCAAAAGGTCCCTGGGTTCAATCCCCTGTGGTGGTTCGAGCATTACTACCATGCAGATATATGGTAAATGACTTAGAAATCTGTTCCCAAGTGCATATTGGGGTTAAAAATGAGTCTGAAATGGTTGAAGATGCCTGCTCTCAGGTGCACACCCTCTTCATGCCAGGCACACTGAGCAGACCCATTCGGGCCTCACCGCTACCCCTTTCCACCCATGACCTGAGAGTATAACCAAGAATGCACATGACACATTGCAAGGTGAAAATCAGCAGCATTGTTGGGAAATCTCATTTTCAGGTAACCTCATCTGCTGTTGACAGATGTTTCCATTAATAGACACACACACCTCACAACGCTTCTCAAGAACTGCAGGGTTCTTCCAGCACACAGTTTGAAAAGCTGCCATTTCAGATCAATCCCAATTCATTGCAAAACAATTGCATCCCTCACACTAGAGAGAAAAACTCGTGAGATGTGTCTTCCCGCCCATGATGGAGATACAATGGACTCAAGAGTTTGAAATGCTCTAAAGAAGGATGGGCTGGAATCCTCAAAAGTGGTGCCTTAGACTACGAACCACATTTCCCCCCTTGGAATTCTAATGGAATTGTTGCTCTGTGAGGTGTAAACTGTGGCGCCCAGAATTCTTTAAGGTATAGTGGTTGCACAGCCCTGGACATTAGCCATAAAGCTAATTTTACTTTTAACCATTTTTGTGAGAAGGGTGGCATAGAAGAGAAGCAGACATATAACAGAGAGAGGTGATCAGACATACAGATCAAGAGGCAGTCACTGCACTGTTTTATTTCATTCAAGTTCTGCATTCGGATCAGCCCACCTGAGACCACCACACCTTGCACCTTGGAGAATGTCGCTGAGCACTGCCAGGATTCGCTAAGCTTCAAGCTCCTTCAAGATATCTCTATGACGAGTTCTTAAAGCCTTCTAAAGGGAGGGAGACCACCATCTGTTTCCAGTCATGGATTCTACTGGCCCATTGTTGACCCATGAATTTAGTACAGAATGAACACTTTCTTTCCATGGCTCCTTGCCTAATGTATTACTCTCATCTATTTAAGAGCTCGGTGCAATAATAAACTTTCTAGTTCTGCTCCATGCGGGATCCATCAACTTGCCCCCAAAGACCATTCCCCTATTTCCATCTGGATTATAAACAACCAATTATTGCACTTAAATCCCCCTGTGTGTGACTTCTGCCTTTGTCATTTGGGAATGGTGCTGCTTATGCTCAGAATGTATTTGAAAGATGATGCAACTGTGGCAAAGATTAGATGCACCCATGGCCAAAGAAGCTTAATTAGCCATGAGTAGGGATAGTGGACGCGGGTGGCGCTGTGGGTTAAACCACAGAGCCTAGGACTTGCCGATCAGAAGGTTGGCGGTTCGAATCCCTGCAACGGGGTGAGCTCCCGTTGCTCGGTCCCAGCTCCTGCCACTCTAGCAGTTCGAAAGCACGGCAAAGTGCAAGTAGATAAATAGGTACCGCTCCAGCAGGAAGGTAAACGGCGTTTCCGTGCGCTGCTCTGGTTCGCCAGAAGCGGCTTAGTCATGCTGGGCACATGACCGGGAAGCTGTATGCCGACTCCCTCGGCCAATAAAGCGAGATGAGCGCCGCAACCCCCAGAGTCGGTCACGACTGAACCTAACGGTCAGGGGTCCCTTTACCTTTACCTTTAGGGATAGTGGAGAATTTTGATTCCGCTCACGCTGAAGGCAAACCTACCAAATCTGAAACAATATGCAAACCGTATTTCTGAAACAATATGCAAACCAAAACACAGCCACCCTTCATAATTTTCAAGCCTCCAGATTTTACAGGTGCAGGTCTGAAGCCAAGTATTGTGTACAAAATGGCAGCTATTGTGGTAAAGTGTGCATAAAAATGCATGTACTGTATATAATTAAAAACCACATAAAATTAAAATTGAAGACCAAGCATTATAGAAATATGTTTTCTTTTCTTTCCTTTCCTTTTTATATATATTTTTATTAAGTTTTTCTATTTTACATTTTAGAATATACATTTAAACAACCTTAAAATATCAGTGACTTCCCTTCTCCTCTTTCCATGGTTCATTTTGCATACCATAAATCCCTGCATATTTTACATAAACTAAACCATTCCGTATTCCATTATTATATCCATCAAAACTTATTTACACTGTTGAATTTATCTTAAGGCTGCCAACGTTTTCAAATGTACACAATTTTCACCCATATATTCAATAAACATTTTCCAATCTTCTCTAAACGTATGTTATTCTTGTTTTCTTATTCTATATGTTAAGTCTGCAAGCTGTGCATATTCCATCAGCTTAAATTGCCATTCTTCGTTATTTGGGATCTTGCTTGTTTTCCACTCTTGGGCTAACAAAACACGGACCGCAGTAGTGGCATACGTAAATAATCTTTTTTGACACCTGGGAATTTCCATCTGAATTATCCCCAACAAAAAGGACTCTGGTTTTCTTGGGAAACAACTTTTAAACTTTTTTTTAAAAAATTCATTATAAATTATTTCCCAATACTCTTTTACAAGTCCACCACATATGACAGAATGTACCCTCAGCCTCGTTGCATCTCCAGCAATTATCTGTTTCAGTCTTATACATTTTAACAAGTCTACTCAGAGCTAAATACCATCTGTAAATCGTTTTCAGGTATGTTTTCTTAACCGCCTGCATTTAATTCCACCTCGTCTAAAGGCTGAAACAGAAGGGGCCTCCTGAAAAACAGAATAATGCAGGAAGGTATGGGGGAAATATTTTAAATGGAGAGTGGAGTGAGAAAGAGAGAAAAAGAGAGCCACCGCTTTGATGGCTATGCTGTACTTTTGTATTTAATTGGACAGAGGCTAGCAAGGGTTAAGATCCTGCCAGAGAGTTGAAACAGGAGCCAGTGGGAGGTGCTCTGTCTGTATCTGTGTATTTGTGAATGTGTGGTGTATATCCATGGTCACATGACATCCCTCATTTCCTTTCTCTCTCTCTCTCTCTTTCCACATAGCAAAACAACTGCTGGCTTTTGCATACGGAATCGAGGTGCTTTTCCAGAGAAGTTGAGCTGAGACCAGGCCAGCAAGCAGGACTGTGGTGAGAGCCAGGATTCCTGGGTTCCCTGAGCTTGGAAAGGGGTTCGGATATATAGTATATGTAGAATCGGAAGATCCATTCACGGCAGCTCAGGGGTGAGGATCCTCCCGAGTTTTAACCTCGCTGGAATGTGCCCTTGAACTCTGCTTAATACCTCTTTCTTGCATGCGAGGCTGCCGCACAGAGAGAGGAGTGTGTGCAGAAACCAGCTAGCCAAATACATTCTGCCCCTTTCCATCTCTGGCTCTGCTCACATTTGGCTCTCCACCATAAACATGTGGAAGATTGCAGGGAAGGCAATAAAACCCTCTGTGTGGAAAAGGTCTCCCACCTGCGAGCTCTGGGAGCGGAAAGAATAGGAATCCTGATCTACCTCCTCATCCTTCCTCATCTACTTCCTGAGTCCAGTCCAGAATGGACATTGGACATTACCTGCAACGGATCGGGTACCAGGGCCCCACGCAGCCTTCTCTGGAGACCCTGCGCGGCCTCCACCGGTGCCACCTCCTCTCCGTGCCCTTCGAGAGCCTCAGTATCCATTCTGGGGAGCCCATCGTCCTGGAAGTGTCCTCCCTCTACAACAAGATCGTCCGGCAGCATCGGGGTGGCTTCTGTTTTGAGCTGAATGGCCTCTTCCTGTGGCTGCTGCAGGCACTGGGATTTGATGCCAAAGCTGTGGCCGGGCGTGTCCGGAACCGTTTCACTGGCTGCTATGGCCCCCCATTGGACCACATGGTGATTTTGGTGCAGCTGGGAGGGCGCCAGCTGCTCTGTGACGTGGGCTTTGGTGAAGGCTTCACGGAGCCATTAGAGCTGAAGGCCTCTGTGGAGCAAGTCCAGGAAGGTGGCATCTTTTGGCTGGGCCTCCAAGGGGGCGTCTGGGTGCTGGAACGCCGAGAAGTCTCTGGGAAGGAGGGGAGGCCCTTATATCAGTTCACGCTCGAGGAGAAGAAACTGGACGATTTTACGGGCATGTGTCTGTATCACCAGACTTCGCCCAGCTCCATATTCGTTTGCAAATCCTTCTGCTCCCTGCATAAAGAAAATGGCGGGCGCCTCACCTACATGGGTTGGCGTCTCATTTCCAAGAAGGGAGAAGAGCGTACAGAGACCACCCTGCAGAGCAACGAGATCCCAGTGGTGCTCCGTGAGAAATTTGGGATCAATCTGAGCGGGGACTTCAAGCCAAAGGATGAAGAAATCCTGCCACCCCTTGAGGAAGTTTAATGAGGGATGGTGGAAATTGCTCCCAATCAAGATAATAGCCTAAAAGATGGTTTGTAAATAATTTCTCAGGGTGTAGCTCCTAGCCATTGGTTAAGTTCCGTGATGTCATGGAAGCGTCACAAATATTCTAACCTCTAAAGAAAGGGGAAATTTCATTTGTTTGCTCCAATCCCGGACCTGTCTGTTAACTTCCACACTCTTGCTATTTTGCAAATGTAGTGAAATAAAAAAATTAAGGTCTTATATATATATATAATAAATGTTCATAGATGTACCAAGCAAACGCACATAAATATATAAACCACATGTCTGAAGCTGCACAGGAAAACAGCCCTGGAACCATTTTGACTCCCAAACTGACCAAATGATTTCTCTGCAAGGTCAAGGAAAATGGAAAAGCCTCCCCATCGTCTTTTCATTCACAAATTCTGTCTTAAAGGTATGTCTGTGTATGAATAGGGTGAGCCTGTGACCTGGCTCAGGAACTAAGTTTTTATCATTACAAAAGACTGGCCAGGCTCCCCAGGGTATCCAATCAAGTAAGCATTAACAGGTAACTTGCCAGACAGGAGGTAAACAACACACTCAGATTTCTGTTGTAGACTGCCCTTTCTGTGATGTAGGTATGATGTGTCAGGGGGTGGTCTTGAGCTACACCCCTTCTGTGATGTATGTATGATGTTTCTGGGGGTGGTCTTGTACTCCAGGGTGGGCAATTTAAAATGTCTATATAAGGGCGGGCACACCTTGGTTCTGGGTCCTCCTCCTTCTCCTGCGTGTGAAGGGGGCACCCTGTTGCAACAGTTCAGTAAAGATCAGGTTTACTATTCAATATTCTCTGGTTGGCCTCTGTTATTTTCTCCAACCGATGGAGAACCTGCAAAGGACTCTATAAGTGCTCTTGTGTCCCCCATAAGGGAATAAGGGCAGATTTACATTTATTACAACAGGTAGTGCAGTTTGGAGTTCTTGCACAAGAAACCTGCTTCCCATGACCTTTAGCCAAAAGAGACTCATAGAGCTGCTTATAAAAATCAGCTTTAAGATGGCCCCTGCTCTCAGGCTCACAGTCTCAAAATGCCATACATGACACCCAAGGAAAAAAGCAGTGGGAGGGAGAAAGCAAACTCGATCACAAGTTTTTAAAGCTGCAACCAACATCAGTGGCAGTTCTGGCTGATTCCCCTTGATAAAGAACATTTTCTCCTCAAAAATATTCTTCCCTGCCCCAGATCAGACCCTAGAGCCCAGCAGGCAACAACATCCAGAACAGGGCAGTTGCTGCCACACACAGTTCTTCCCTCAGACGACAAACTTGATGATAGAATCCTTGCAGACGGGAGACTGGTGGAGTCACCCCTCTCTTTTGATGTGACCCTGCAAAGTTGGCCTGGCTGAGAGACCCTGGCTGGCACAAGTTCAACCAGAGAATTGTGTGACTGAGTGGCGAGTTGAACTTGCGCCTCCTCTTGGTCATAATCTGAAACTATCCATTTCGCTGAATTAGAAATGTGTGTGTTCCGTTTATAGATTGTTCATATGCCTCTTAACACATTCTGTTATGTACTGAAGTTCTCACCCTGAGCCAGCAGGGGGATACTGTAGATAGTTTTCACTCAGGTCCACATATGCAAATAGGGATTGAAAGTGACGTTCAGTGATTGGATAGTTACAGAAAGTGATTACAGTTGCATTGTAGTGGAGCTCTATATAAGTAGGCTGGCTGAACCCTTCAGTTCAGTTCTGTTCTGTTCTGGCCTGTGAATAAACAAGAGCTGTTTGAAGCATCGCTGTGTCGTCTGATATGTTCACCCACAACTTAACACACTCCTAGGCAAAGTTTGCGGTTCCAATAGAAACCGAAAGATTTGCCGCATCAGCCCCAGACCAGCAGGTCCCCACTGAAGACCAACAAGGCTCAGGGATGGGAGGGACGAAAGGTGCATCAGTTTTTAGGGAAACAGTGAGGGTTTTTTAAAAAAACAACCACACACATCAGAGTCACAACAGACCAGCTCTGTGCAAAACTCTGATAGCAACCCTCTGGCATATGAATGAAGCAGATAAGGAGGTCCACCTTATTCTCAAGAAAATTGGGTGGTGAGGGAAGGGGGAATCTTGGAGCCAGCCTATGGGAAGTCACCACTTCGTAGTTGGTGGAGTTGGGGAGGGAAGAATGAGTGACGATCTGCAAGAGACAAGTGCTGAGGTCGCTTTGAGTTCATGCATAGAGAGGCTTTGGGAGGCGGGGTCACGTGAGAGGGGAGGAGCCAAAGCCCTTAGAAATAAACAAGCCTTTCTGACTTGCATTAACCCAGAATTTCTCCGCCTGCAACTCGCCTGGCGTAAGAGCTGTGAGCATATGGAATGGAGGGAAGGGGGATGGAATATAGAACAGGAAGGGGAGGTGGGGGTGTTATAGAATTTACTGAATAATTGTCAGATGGGTGGGGCTAGGATTGCATAGGGTTTGCCGCTAGGAGGTTGCCTGCGTTTTAAACAATTACATGCCAGGCAGAAAGTGAACAGGTGATGTTTTCCCCAACCACTTTGCCTTCAAATGCTGCACCTGTTAAATTTCTGCCTTGCATTGGAAGCACACAGAAGCCCTGCCATGAAAAAAAAAGTGGTTTTCCTGGGAATGAGGACACTCAGCCCTTTATTGGTGAAATAAAATATACATTGCCCTCAATAGAGGTGTTCAATTCATGCCAACTATGAATCTGTGGCAGGAAAGTGTGGCTGTTAAGTACCTAGTGGGCTGTACTGTATTGGTTTGCAAAGAAATGGAGGTGGGCAAAATCTTTCTATTGGACTGTCTTAACTGAGGTAGGAATATACAGGCCTCCTGATTTCACAGAACTCTTCATTGCACAGAAGGGAAAGGTGGATATTTCCAATGCATATTGGGCAAACTAGATTAGAAAGGCAACAGATCCGCCGGCTTGCTGTTAATGGGAATTTTGCAACACACACCAGACCTGGAGGTGGTTGCTCATTGCGCCATTAGTGTAACATCCAATATGCAAATAAATTGTTGGTTTATTGGGTGATGAATTTGCTCACGTCGTGTGAAAGTCTGATGCAGTTCAGATCTTTTGTAACAGGAGGACTGTGTGTGAGAGGGAGGCAGCACAATCTTAGACGGTGATGGGGCACCGGAACCAGGAAGAGGGCCTTCTTGGTAGTGGCGCCCACTCTGTAGAACGCCCTCCCTTCAGATGTCAAGGAAATAAACAACTATCTAACTTTTAGAAGTCATCTGAAGGCAGCCCTGTTTAGGGAAGTTTTTAATGTCTGATGTGTTGTTGTTGTTGTTGTTGTTGTCGTCGTCATCAATTCTGCTGGGAGCCACAATGGGGTGGGGTATAAATTAGTAGTAGTAGTAGTAGTAGTATTTCTAAAAACGAAGTCACTTCCTTTCTCATTCTCTACCCGTTTCTCCTTCTCTGCCCCCTAAAGGTCTTGACTGTGATGGTTCTGCAGAAGGAAGTCCCCAAAGTCCACATATTCAGCACCAGGGCAGGAGATGTGATTCTTCGCCCTGATCTGAACGGCTACCTGCTCCTCTCCGGTTTGCCGACCTCGCCCTGCGCTGAGCTCTGGCCCTTGCACCCTTCCCTGCGCGGCAGCGAACACTATTTCAGCTCCCGTTGGCACAACACCATCTACGTCATCCGCGACAACAAACTCCTGGAAACCCCAAACCTTCACACCGAGCCCAGCAGAGAGCCCCGTCGCCTGCACCCCAGCTGCTGCGCTGGGCAACATTATTTCGTTGTTTCTGGTGGCTCCTTTGGCATAATCTTAAGCTCGGGCACCATGACGGCAGTCAAGGACTTGACCACAGGGGAACCAGATCCAGACACACAGCCAGGACACCATCAGTGGTCCAACGAGAAGATGGGAAGCCATCGCAGTTACCTCTACTGGCAGCTGTGGGATAACTTCAGCGGAGAAGTCTTTTCTTTCCACCCCAGTGTCCTCAACTTCTTGCCGGGAGGTCTCGGCCTCAGCAAAGGGGACGCATTCAAGGCCTGGGAGCTGCTGAACATTTTCCACAACTACTCTGACAGCCCTGTCTCTAGGTTACAGGAAGTGTCCCGGAAAGTGGGCTACGCCACAGAAAAGCTGGCTGATGTTGGGCGCAGCTGGGTGGCAACGGCCCTGCCAGATTCTCCTGAGCCGGGCTCCATCGCCGTGGCGCTGGCCAAGGCCCAGTTTGCGTTACCGACCGAATGTGGCGGTGTGGGCCTGAACACAGAGCAGGAAGAATGGGGGGAAGCCCGTGAGGTGGAGACAACCCTGACGTTCACACTACAGCCTGAAGATGTTGCCTATGTGTGGCAGTATCAGCTAGGGCTAGGGAAGGAGGTCATCTTGTTTTGCAGGGATATTGAGGTCACTCTTGGCTGCGACCCACCGACCAAGGTCCCCCTGCCTTCTTCATCCTAAATAACAGCTGGCTCCAGCTCCCCATTGCTTTCCACCCTTTCCCCCTTAGATGTATTTCTGTACACTACCAACTGATAAATGCTGAAATAAATAAACAAACCAGGCATGGGGGAACCTGCGGCCTTCACAATGTTAGTAGATACCAAATCCCATCAGCCCAGCCAGTGGTCAGGATTGATGGGTGTTGCAGTCCAGCAGCATCTAGAAGGCTAAAGGTTCCTCATCCCTGATTGGACAGAATTCCTGGGGATGGTGTGTGTGTGTGTGTGTGTGTGTGTGTATACAAAAGCTTAATAAAATGCTTTTAATGCTTGCTTGAATAGAGGGCCCATCAAATCTCACTACAGATTGAGAATTCCTTCTGTGGTTGTTTTAATAAATAGATTCCCCACCCCTCCACCCTTGATGCGGGGAATTAGAGCAGAGTGGTCCAGAGTGGTCAGTCTTGACTCTCTAGGGTTGGCAGGTTTATGCAGAGGGTGAATAAACACCTATAGGTTGGAATGGGGTTGGAAAAGGCCCCGACATAGAAAAGATTAGAGGAATAGCACAAAAAATTAATTAGGAGCTCAGAGCCCCAGAAATACATGACATGGGCATGTGCAAAGTGCACCTCCCTTCCCACTGAGGAACCTCTGCATTTTATGATTCCACAATACAGCCGTATTCCTTATTTTTTGTGTTTTATGATTCCTAGTGATGATGATTAATAAATGTTGATTATATATTGATGTTCCTTGGCTTTATTTCATATGCATTCCTAAGAATCTGGGTTGGGGGTTGACAACTTTATTCATTTATTTATTTAATGTATTTTTATTAAAGATTTTCTTGGTTTACAAGCTCACCAAGGGGTCAAATGAACTCAAGAGGCTTGGGGGACCCTGGAACAGCAAAACTACCAGAGAAAAGGACTGCAGCTTTCTTTCTTTTCTTGGGTAGCCAGTGTTTTACCATGCAAGAATGAATTTGTGGTCTATGACTGTGTTACAGAGCATTGTGTGGGGCTGACTTGTCTTCCAGCCTTTGAATTGCAGATTTCTGTGCTGCGCTGGCTCGCCAGATGCAGCTTGTCACGATGGCCACGTGACTCAGAAGTGTCTGCGGACAGCGCTGGCTCCCGGCCTATAGAGTGAGATGAGCGCACAACCCTAGAGTCTGTCAAGACTGGCCCGTACAGGCAGGGGTACCTTTACCTTTAAAGCTAAAACAAGGGGGCGTTACTTGGTATGTAAAACACTTGAGGTATTGTTTCACGACACAAGTTTGCATATGCAACTTTATTTGCATAGATGCAAATATAGGATGACCGGGGTAGGTGGGGAGGAACTGGTGTGGGCCCTCAAGCTCACTGGAGGAAACTGAGCCAGCCGCTATGGCCCCATTCTAGCCTGGGATTTCTGCCGCAGGGTCAGTGTCTCCAGTACCCTAGCATGGTCTCTTGCCCACTGCATTCTCCAAAGCTAAGCACTCGTGAACTCTGAAAACACGAAGTGCTTCGTTCTAAAGAGCATCGAGTGAAAGTTCTGTTGCGTATGGTGGAACTTCGCGGTGAAAACACAAATTAAGACATGCCAAAGGAAGCTCCAAGTTTTTCACCCGTATATTTGCACCGAAAATAACAGCTCTAACTGAAAGGCAGCGTGGAGATCTGTCTCGTTTGTTGCAATACACATGCCTAATAATCATTGCATAATCTTAGCCGGTTGTATAACCTCAGAAGGCGGGTGGCTGCGAAGGGAGGCTGCACTTTTGAATTTGCCACCTGAATTTGCCCACGTACACACAACCGGGCAATGTCACACACCAACTTGCCGCCCTCCCCCCAAGCCGAACTACGTAGACTCCCCCCAACTCTCTCCGGCGACGCCCAAAGATGGGAGGTGTGGCGGGGGTGTGGCCAACTTTTCCGCACGCCCCCCTGCGCCTGGGCTCGGCGAGGAGACACAAACAGTTCCGCGGCTTCGCTTCACGGGAAGATCCTGAAGGGGGAGCAGATCTAGGCGGAGATCTGCTGAAGGGGGAGCAGATCTCCCCCTAGATCGCCTCCTGGGGTGGAAGCTGTCGCAATAGAGGCCGTCCTTTGCACCTGCCCTATGCCCCCCAAACGATGAAGAAGCACAGAAAACCCTCCTCCCTGCCCCCAGCTCCGCTACGGGGAGCTCCGCCTACGCATAAACTTTCCTTGTCTTTACAGCAGGGGTCAGCAAACTTTTTCAGCAGGGGGCCAATCCACTGCCCCGTAGACCTTGTGGGGGGCCGGACTATATTTTGAAGAAAAAAAATGAATTCCTATGCCCCACAAATAACCCAGAGGTGCGTTTTAAATAAAAGCACACATTTTACTCATGTAAAAACACCAGGCAGGCCCCACAAATAACCCAGAGAGGTGCATTTTAAATAAAAGGACACATTTTATATACTAATTCCCGGACCGTCCGCCGGCCGGATTTAGAAAGCCATTGGGCCGATCCGACCCCCGGGCCTTAGTTTGCCTACCCATGCTTTACAGTGTTTGGTTTTGGGTCTCCTCCCCCTCGGGAGGGAGGAGCCGAGGAGCCCGGCCTTCTCCGCCAGCCCCTTCCGGGAAGCTGCCGTGGCCCGACTGTCAGCGACTGCAGTCCGGGAAGCCGCTGCGCCCTGGTGAAATTGGCGCGAGAGCCTGCAAACCAGGTGAGGATTTTCTGCAGCTGCATTTGCTCCAACCGACCTCTGCTGCTTGTTGTCACTCGCTTGCAGGCTTCCTCTCATGCTGTGTTGTGTGTTTGTTTTTGCCCTGCACCGCGCACCACGCAGCGGGGTGCCGTGGGGGTGTGTGAGAGAAGTTTTAGGTGTTTCTACCTGGGGGTGGGGGGCATGGTGACGGCGGTGCTAACAACCGTGAGTTAGAAAGGCCGAATCCTTCAATTTTTGAAAATTAGTCAAGGGGCGGGGGCAAAGAAAGAGAAGGAGAGAGAGGTGATGTCATTTATTTATTTGTTTGTTTGTTTTCATGAAAGCTATACACGGCTTGATTGTAAAAAGGGGGGGTAGTTTCAGGTGGTTTCTAAAAATTATTAGATCACTCCTAAAAGCATGTTCGTTTCCTTCCCCATCCCCTCCCTCCCAGCAGAATGACTGGAATGGGGCTTTAGAGGGTATCTTCCTGCTTGTAGCTCCACTACACTAATTTTGCACTGGGAAGTGGAAGAAGGGCTGTGATTATTATTAACTTGTTGTGATGGGTGAAGCACTCTGTGCTCACAGCTTGCATTTCAGCGTGCTCTATGGAAAATAAAGCCTTGGGCTTGGGAATTAGCCCTTGTGACAGAAGCCCAGGATTCCTGGGTTCCTGGCCCAGTTCCGCCCACAAGGAGTGACCCTGCAGGAATCGAATCCCTCACGCACCATTCCTATGGCCTGCAGAAATGCCACAGGATTCTGGATCTGGGCGGTCCTAGCCTTCAGCAGCTTAAGAAACCATGGCACACTCTCTCTTAAGATTGCCACTTTCTCTTCATATTCTGGCACAGCTTCTTTGCGATGTGGAGAGAGGCAGGAGGAGGAGGAGGATAATAGCAATGATGTTATCCCCGACCTCCTACAGCACGGGAAAAGCTTTTCCTGTTGTGTTTCTGCTTCTTGTGCCAGATCTGGTTAATTAATAGGACACTTGGCGCCTGTAAACATCCAGTGGTCATTGGTCTTCCATAGCTGAGAATAATCCCCCCCCAAGAAGCCTGAATTGCAAACCACACTCCTTGATCCCCGTTTTTGTTCCTCTTAAAAGCGCAATCTCACAGGAACACAAGGAGCTATCTAATTCCAAGTCAGACCACTTGTCTATCTAGGTCAGTATTGTTTACACTGACTAGTAGCACCTCCCCAGGGTTTCATACTGGGGCTCGTTTCCCATTCCCACCTGGAGATGCTGGGGTTCATTTTTTAAAAAAAAAAATATGATATTTATTAAAATTTCAAAAGATACAAAATTTACACAAAGACAAAAAGTAAAAATACAAAAAGTAAAAATACAAGAAAATAAAAAATACAGAAAAAAGAATAAAGAAAAAACAAAACAAGTTCATTATTTTCAGACCCTTGACTGTCATTGCCTTCTTTCTTAGACCTCCTCCTCCTCCCTTCCTTTGTATTCTAGTTATTAATTATCCCAGCAAATCCTTTCCTTTCCATGTTTCATAAAATTCTATCATTACATTACCCTCGACTAATTTAATCCTATCTTTCTATAATAAAATAAACCTTAAAGTTTAAAACTTAAGTCTTAACCTTACCAGCTTCTTATAATCATAATATTCTTTCATAATTCTTTATGCATCCTTACTAAAGCCAGGTAATTTCTTCCAACATTTTTCTATCATTCATCAACTTTATGAAACATTCTAATAATAAAGAAAAAGAATAAGAAAGATATAGACAAGTCCAATCTTTATCCAACGTCCCTTCCTCCTGGTTCCGGGATTTGTCAGTCCTTATTCCCATCAGTCTAACCCGGTAACCTTATGTCCGAGGCCCTCAGGTCACTTCCATGGCCCTTCCGTGGCTCTTCTTCATATTTGTAACTATAATTTCCCTTATCTCCTCGTGGTAACTCCAGCTTGACAATGTCTCTTGCTCGTGGTAACTCCAACTTAGTAATGTTTTTAACCCTTCTCGTCAGATCAGACCCTTTTCCGTATTCATCACTGCATTCCATGTAGTGTTTAAAAGCATGTTCCAAGGGCCCTCCAAAATTGAGAGCCCCCACAGTCCCAAACATATCGCAGCCCATTACCATATTTAAAAAGTCCAGACATCCCAACATAGGGGGGTCAATCCAGCCCCCCATTTCCAAGCCACACCGAACTTTTCCTTTCCAGATCTGGCTTTTTCCAAATTCATTTGTCCAGTCCAAAGGATCATACTCCTGTTGGGTCTGTTCTGTCAAAACACACTCCTGATTTAATGCCACAAACTCCTGTTCTGTCAAAACACACTCCTGGTTTGAATCCTGAGTGGGCTCCACATGTTTTCCCACAGTCTGGTCAAAACATTCCACTGCCTGTTTAAGATTTCTAGTCGAAATGGCCATCCAGTTCACCTTATCATGTAATTCTTCCAGTAGAGCATTTGTTTTGTAAAAAGCGCGCACCAAGGCTTCTGAAAACATTGTCCTACACAGTCAAACACTTTCCCACGGTTATTTTGTAACAGCTGTCAATTCCCTGGAGTTAGTTACAGTTTCAGAAGCTCCCCCTAGGGGGAAGACTTATGTTTATTTTTCTACAAAGTTTCCTTTTTTCCCCCAAAATACTTAAGATACTTTGTCCATATATATTCCTTTAGAATGCGAAAGGGAACAGTGGAATCACAAAGTTTCTCTTCTTTTAACTGTCTGTCAAGAAACAATTATCTTGGTAAACTCACGTCAGTCCTGACACCCCCGCTCCAGGATCAGGACAGAGGAAAATAACTTCCTTTTGCAGTTACTTCAAATAGTCCAAAAAAAAGATTCCCAATTTAAAATGTTGAAATCCACTCTTTTAAAGACGATTTTCTGAGCTCTAGTGTAAATTGCCTTTGCTTTATTCTATTTACAAAAGAACGGAAGGGTGACTTCCTGTTTAGCCCTTCCCGCTCCGTACCAAATTCAATAGATTTTTTTATAGTCCGATTCTGTCCTTCTCACGAATCTTTATTTGATATCCCATTTGTTCAAATTCTAAGTACTCACGGGTGCTTGTTTTAGAGTCCAAATTGTCCCAGGAAAGAAGGCAGCGCTCTCCGGCAGTAGCTATGCGGCTTCACTCCACAGAAATAGCGATTGACTCACAGCACCGCGCCTCTTCCCCCTCCTCACTTCGGAGCCCGTTAGTGGGTTCCTTAGCGGATTGGGGGGGCGCTAAAGGTGCCCGCCGAGTCCCACGGTCACAGGCTTCATCCGCCTGTGATTTTGAAGGGGTCCCCGCTTCGCCGTAGCGGAGTAGACCCTGTTTACCGCGGAGCCAGTCCCTCCAGTTCAGAGGGAGTCCGCCATTGCCGGTGGCGCAACCCCGGAAGTTCGGAGATGCTGGGGTTCAACCTGGGATCTTCTGTACGCAAAGCAGATGTTCTGCCTCTGAGCTGTGACCTTTCCCAGTATTCAGCTTGTACACACTGTTTGCTTATGAAATCACAGAATTGTAGAGTTGGAAAAGGACCACAAGGGCCATTTAGTCCAACCCTCTGCAATGCAGGACTCCTTTTGCCCAATGTGGGTCTCAAACCTACGACCCTTAAGAGTTTCATGCTGCACCAACTGAGTTGTCTTATTGAGATTTATAGATAATTCCTGGCGTACTCGGTATTTGCAACTCAAATTGCCACAGCAGCATTCTTAATCTAGGCAGGGGAACGTATAAATGTATATGCATATAACATTGTCCAGTTAGGTGCTGCTAACAAGCCAAATCTCTGGGAAACGAGGCCCTAGGCACAAATGCATACTAAAGTTATGCAAACAGGGGAAATGCCCTAGAAAAAAACTATGGCTGGCTTCCAAAGGAAAATGCAATGAAAACACAGTGTCATGGCACAGTGTTTGCAGATACAACAAAGCACACCTATCTGGTTTTGAGATTCGAACGCCAGCCCTACTTCTCATAATCAAACTAGACAAAGGGGTACACAAGATTACCTCAGGGACAAATCAGGCTGTTCAAGTATTCAGTAGGAACTTGTTGAATGATGTAGGGTAATGATCTCCCGCTTGAATCTGCCGTAAGGTTAGGGTGCCTTACACGGTGGGCTCAGGTGCAGAATCTAGCTTCCTGAGAATTTCAGCTTTGCATATAAGTGTAACTGCAAACACACATGAGCTTCTGGCCCACAGGTTTGCAAAGATTTCCTTGAGAAAGCACACGGGCAGAAGAAATCCAAGATCTCAGGTGGGTAATAATCAAATGACATTTCACTGGGCTCTGCACAGCACCTTAGAGCCAAATCAGAATAAATTGTGCTATATCATTGTTGCTTTTTAAGGAGGCAGAAAATAATGAAAAACAAGATGTTCTCAACAGAGGTGTTATTGATGCAGTTTGGATGCCACTGACACAGAATGTCACATTTTTTTAACACAGCAGGACCCAGCCCTGAGTTAAGGGTCACTTCATTGCTTTGTATAACTAAAACATGTATTTCTCATTTCCCTTTCCCTCTCTACCAGCAACAGCAATTCACATTTTGTGATAGATTGCCTCTGGACCTGGAGGTTCCATTAACCTGTATTTGCTAACACCTGTCGATTAGAACCTCTTCCGCATCTCTCCACCGCGGGACATCCATGGCTGCCATTGTGCCCCGGGCAGACTCCCGTGGCACAGACGTCTTTGCTACCCGCCACGGTTTCTTCGTCGTCCGCTCAGACCTGGGTTGTTTCCTCCAGGCGCTCGACTTCCGTTTGGGGCAGGACCTCCAAGTGTGGGATCTGCACCCGGCCTGCCGCAGTGGGGACCACTACGTGGGGGACCCCACCAGCTCCGCCATCTACCTCCTCCGTGGGGACTCGTTCTGCAAAGTGCTTGACCTGAGCTCCGAGCCACCCTCCAGTACCCTCCCGCTGCACCCCAGCTGCCAAGGAGGTGACCATTATGCCTTCTGTGAGGGCCGGTTCTTCATCTTTTTCCTGACACGTGGAGTGGTCCTATCTGTGGCCGACCTGGCCACTGGGGCCACGGCTAAGGAGATCTGCTTGGAGCCGGCACTGCTCAATGGACTGTATTACTATGGTGCTGACGCCAGCCACCTCGCCTGCTTAAGGATGGATGAAGAAAACGGCCTTTGTGGCTACCTTTTTGCAGCGGCAGGGCCCAAGGAGACCTTCTCAGTCCACCCTGATGTGGTCTCCTTCCTTCCTGGGGGGCTGGGCCACACCCACGGGGCTGCCTTTGGGGCTTGGGAATGCCTCAAGCTGATTTCCAACGCCACAGACCTGCCCATGCCCAGCAGCCATGAAATCACCCGCAAAGTTGGTTCCTCGAAGCTGGCTTTCAGTCAGAAATACCGCGTCTCTGGATCTCTGGATCCAGAATCCTTGGCCGCCTCCCTTCTCCAGCACCAGTTTTCCCTCCCCGTCGCTTACGGTGGTCTGGGGCTTCGGACGGAGCAGGAAGAGTGGGAGGAGGCAGCTGAGGAAGGAGAGGCTTTGCGGGTGATATTGCAACCCCGTCAGAAGCTGTACTGGTGGCATTACCAGCTGGGGTTGGGCAAAGAGCCCCTTCTCTACTGCCGGTCTCTGAAAGTCACCCGCAGCCCCTCGCCACCCACCCATATACCTCTGCCACCGGTTGATTCTTGATGCCAGGACTAAGCGACAAGAATCTGATGTTTGTTTGGTTGGGGTTGTGCATACAATAAAAGCGCTGCTTGCTTGCTTGCTTGCTCCCTGCCCTGCCCCGGCTGTGCTTCCAGTTTGTTTCGTTGTTACACCCATTTCACAGGCGGTAAAACAAGTTGCTGGGCTTCTCTTGATGTAGAAGGGGCCTGTGTCACACTTGGTGGAGGTCATGAAACCACTACTGTTCAAATAATAATAAATGATAACAACATTAAGTCTTCCCGAGCATTGTCTGGTATGAGGGCTCCTAGGTGTCTATATTTTATTAATTTTTTAATAATAATTTTTATTAATCCTGTAAAATTTCAAATTCTGTCATTCCATGACCAACAAACATGTAGCTTGGTCAAGAAAACAGGTTTATTTTCTTAGCTTTTAAAAACAGTCCAGTTTTGTTTGTTTTTTACATTCCAGGAAAACAAAACAAAATTTCTTCTTTTCCTTGATTGGGAATGGAATTGGATATTTTGCTATTTTCTAAGTAACGGAGAAGAGTTTTCTTTTCATTTTTTTAAAGGAAATATATATATATATTTGAAAATAATAATTTGTTATCCCAAACCGAAAGAGCACACTATAATCTACATGTTGGGTTTAAATTTAAGAAATTAAAATCTCAGAATGTTATATATATATATATATATATAATATTTACTGTCTTAAAATTCAGGAAGTGTGCTCAACAATGTTTATGGGACAGATTATTTAAAAGGTAAAAAGGCATTTCGTTCAGCCCAAGACATCATCTAAAACAGTTCCAGTTTATGAATAAGTGCCCTTGCGTGTCGCATTATGATTTCTTCCTTAACTTGGAAGGTGTACAAGGGCCTTCCAAGGAGCTGTCCTTAGACTAACCCTAAGACATCTGAAAACTTCTCTCAAGTTGGTCTGGAATTAATATAACTGCCATGTTATTTTTTTATCCCACAGACTCCTGGGCGGTGTAATATTGTGTGGAGGCTTGAGAATCCTGTCAGGAATCTGCCTCATGGAACATTTCCCACAATTCTGTGGTAGTGTGAGGAGGCCATGACAGTTAAATCAGTTTAAATTCACAGTGAAGACTTGCCCAACCATGCAGGTTGAAGGGCAGGGGCGTATTGCTCTGTGTAGCTTCGGCTGGCCATATAGACTTGCCGATGTGGTACCCTCCAAATGTTGTTGGACTCCCAATTCCCATCAGCCCCAGCCAGCACAACTAATGGTCAGGGATGAGTCCAACAACATCCAGTAAGCACAACTGTTGGCTACCCCACAGCATGTAGTATCTTAAACCCTGAGTTACCTTAATGTTAGGTGCTTTTTGAACTGATCATTATTGCTACTGGCTAATGAGGAGAACCATCAATGGCTCTGTGATTTTCGTACTAAGAGAGTTCTGAGGGAAAATAACCACACGGTGTTAGATAGCAAAAGGTTCTTCTGTATCCCTCAGGAACAGACAGCTGGCGCTAAAAACCAGTCATACCAGCACGGGCGAGCCCATTCTGGATGCAGCTGCATGGATAAATGCACAGCCCCCTTGGGAGACAACAAGTTTTCTGGCTCAGAAATTGAGGCTGAGTATCGCCTCCGAAAGCTTGTTGAGGTCATGGCAGCAGGGCTCTCGCATGAGCACAAAATCAACCTTCTTGTCTTGGTCCACAAAGATCTCCAGGAGGTCTCTCCTCAGCCGCTCGGTCTCGTCCTTGGGCCGGAGCTGCTCCTCTGGCGAGTTCTGTTTATGGCTCTTCCTTCGATCCGTAAGCAACCCTCCGGGTGGCTTCCTGTCTCGAAGCTGAAGGACCTCTGTCTGCGATGCACGGCCCACGGGGACAGACGCAGGCACAGACCGGCCAGCGAAGGAGTGGCAGTTTGGGGCCTTGGTCCTGCGATGGTGAAGGGACATAAAGCAGGTTTCAGGAAGGAGGCTTAGGAAGGAAGGGTTTAGATGGTGGAGACAACCCTTTTAACTAAAAGGTTCAAGGCTTCAGGGGAGAAACCCATATTGCAGGACAAGACAGTGAGGTGTTCTCTGCCACAAGGTCCCACCCGCCATTTTGACCACCCCCTCCCAGAGCTGCCTCCATCATTGGCCATTCTTTGAGGCTGCCTTAGAGGGCAAGGTTAAAAAAAGTAGAAGCAGCAAGGTCCGCTACCTTGGCTTTTCTGAGACCCAACTGCTGTTTAGCTCCTCTCCTCCCCGAACTGCCTCCATAACTGACCATTCCTCATAACTGCCTCAGGCAGAGAGGCAAGAAAGCAAGGCCCATGGAATCGACCTCCCTGGGACCGCCTGCCATTTGGTTTAACTTTGTCCCAAGAGCTGCCTCCTGGCCATTATGCAGCAATATAAAATATCCAATACCTGACTATGTTTACCTTCCACTCCCCATTTCTTCCCTTTCGTATCTTAAATCTCAATGCTACTATTATAAAATATCAACTGCCGTTTGAACCCTTTTGCAAGCCAACCTGAACTTGGAAGGATATGTGGCAGTATAATTTCCACTCAGGTTTGTTGTAGCTCCAACCCACATACTTCTCTGGCCACAAGATGGAGCAGTGTCACCATGCACTGAAATATATATACTTCTGTTTTGTGGTTGGAAAGCGGGGGACACAAACAAAGGGTGTTTTCCTAGGGACAGCTGCTTGCTCTGGCCCATGGAGACTTTTTAACATGTTAAATGCCTATCCCGACTCCACTCAGCTAGATCACTTGTTCCACGTGTGGGTGCATACCTGGGGGTTTTCTTCAGGAATTCTGCTATGGTGGGCCCGTCTCGTCCCAAGGGGTCATCGGGAACCATGAAAATATTCCCCACGAAGATGTACTGCAGAAGGCTGGATGGTACACCAAGAAACAGAGTCAAGAAGAGTAACGTAAAGATGGATGGGACGTATTAAGGCAAGGGGGCCCTAATCCAAACCAGTTTGACGGGCACTTCCTATTGCCTAGAGAAAGAAGTGGCATTCAGGCCACATCTGCACGGTTCATTTAAAACATTATTACACACCATTTTAATAGTCGTGGTTCCCCCCCCCAATCCTGGGAACTGTAGTTCATTACATGTGCTCAGCTATAATTCCCAGAGTTTGAACCATCATCCCTCTTTCCTAGGGAACTCCAGGAACTGTGGCTCTGGGAGGCCAGTTCAGCTGTTTGAACAATGTTAAGGGTGTTGGGAATAGTAGCTGTGTGAGGAGGTAAACTACAATTCCCAGGATTCTTTGGTCATGTGCTTTAAATGTGTGGTGTGTACAAGTTTAGGCTATTGGTTCATCTACCTCGGTGTTGTTTTTATCATTTATTAATTAACAGGTCACTTCTGTGCCAAAATGGCAGCTTGCAACTAAAAAACCAATATGTAAGTAAAATACACAACAACAGGCAGGTTGTTGTTGTTTTTCCCCAAAGCAATTTCTGGACATGCCAGGGAATGAGCCTCTCACCACTAAGCCCAGGGGCCAGAGTACAATTCTTCAACTTCCCCCATCTACCCAGTTCCCAAGCCACAGATCAAACAGCAACCAAAGCTCTCCAGAGAAGGAGGGCTATATATCCACATCCTTTTCCTACTCTCCCCAGCCCTGCTCAACTGAGGGTGAAAGCCTGGCACAATCGAGAAAGTCAAAAGGAAAAAGAAGAAGGCTACTCTGTCACCAATTCCCACAGCACCTTTCTTTAATGATTCGGATCCATTTCTTCGACTCTTTCGCAAGATCCCGGAACTGGTCATTGGTGACGATCACGCCGTTGGTCTGTTCCGCTAGTTTGAGCATGAACCTGCGGGCATAGGAAGGGAAGAAAACACCTGTCAAATAGAATTTTTTTTTAAATTTTAGTGGTTTGCCACAGAACCCAATGAAAACTGGAACTGGAACCCAATGAAAACCCACTGCGATGATGTCATCCTCCACTCCAGGCCAGGATTGCACAGTAGCTAGTGTGTTAGATTTCAACTGGGGAAACCACAGTTCAAATCCCTCCTAATGTTACCGGACTATAACTCCCATCATCCATTCGGCCATGCTGGCTAAGGCTGATGGGAGTTGGAGTGCAGCAGTATGCTGAAGGGTCACAGCTTTCCCCGGCCCTAGCCCCCTTTCTCAGCCTGACTTACCTAACAGGATTGTTGTGAGGAAATAACGGAAGGAGAAGGATAAAAATATACCAAGGAAACGGAAAACATTTGAGAATTTGGTTCTGGAATATCACTCTCTGTGGTGTGACTGACATCACTTCAGAATTTCACTCTGTGTCTTGGTAGCCACAACGTGCTTCAGTTCCTTTCTGTGATAACCACCCTTTCATATCTTGTCAGTTACACCATGACTCAAAAATCATGCCTGCCACCCCCACCCCGGGCCCATCTGCTGGCAGAGTCATTTCCTACTTCTGCCCCAAACTCTCGTACTTGTGACCTCATCAAAGCATAGCGATATCCGGTGACTTGACATCTGGAAAGCCCAACCTGGGGGAAATCCCAGGGAAGGTCCAAGTTGAAGCAAAAAAAAAAAAAAAACAAGACCAGAGAAACAAAGGATATTTTCATCAGTTTCTGCCACACACAAAAACCCCACCACCGCCTTGAAGAAAGCGAAAAACTGAAACAGCAATGTTTTATTGACTGATCGGTTTAGAAGAGATCAAACCCTTCCACCAACTAATCAAGCACACAGAAACGTTCTGATTGACTAAAACAGGTTTGGACAGGAAAGAGATTCGATGGTTGAAGGTTTCTGACACCCAGTTGTTTTAACAACAGTTAAGGCAGGCAGGTTGGACAGTGTTCTCGAAGCTACCAGCATGAGTTTGACCAAACTGCGGGAGGCAGTGGAAGAAAGGAGTGCCTGGCGTGCTCTGGTCCATGGGGTCACAAAGAGTCGGACACAACTAAACAGCTAAACAACAACAACAAGGCAGGCATAGGCAAACTCAGCCCTCCAAATGTTTTGGGACTACAACTCCCATCATCACTAGCTAACAGGACCAGTGGTCAGGCATGGTGGGAGTTGTAGTCCCAAAACATCTGGAGGGCCGAGTTTGCCTATGCCCAAGTTAAGGATTCTCTTCCCCACACAAATCGGCCAGTTGGAATTATTGTTCTGTAGTAACGCAGGTGAAGATCTGAATGTATACATGCATCACAGTGCATGAGCTCATGGGGCGCAGCAGATAATTGGCTCCACCATCACCCCAGGACCACTTTGCATCTGGCTCCGCCCCCAATGTCATTCCTTTGATTTTTTGGGGTGGACCTTGGTGTTCCAGCCAAAAACGAAAGTGGGTCCTCAATTCTGTCCAACCTTTGGCTAAACTCTCAGACCAAACAGACCTTTCGTCTCTCCTGCAGAGCTGTACTGAGCTCCAGCATTCCACTCCTTCCCCACCAATATTTAAAATGTTAGCTGAACGTTCCATGATCTCGCAGCAGGCAGACCAACAGCAGGGGGAGATCAGGGAGATCGCTCACACAGGGAACAGCCACTCAGTGCCGACAGGCGAACCTCTACCATGTCTGATACAGAGAAACGCTGAATTGCCTTTATGGTAAGTTCAGAAAGCTCTACTGACCTGTCGTCATACGGCACGATGCCCTTCCCATCTATTTTGCGTGACGGCGTGACGGAGAGGATGCTCAGGTTCTGTAACTCAATCAAAAAGTGCTGCTCTGTGGTTGGGGAAAAGGGAGAGGAAAAAAACCAAAGAGGAATGATACTTGCATTGAAGCTGAGACACCAACATCACATTCAATGACTCCTCATTTCTTATTGGGGCTGCGGCAGTTGCAGCCTGATCTCATCCATGTTTGTTTGGAAGTAAGTGTCCTTGGTTCCAGTTAAGACTTACTCCTCAGTAGGTAGGTGGCCTTTCATGAGGAACACAGGAGGTTGTCTTAAACTGAGCAAGACCATTGGGTCCATCAACCTCAGTGGGTTCTCTCCCAGTCCTACCTCGAGATGCCAAGGATTGAATGCCGGAGTCGTCTTCTTCATGCAAGGCAGATGTTCTTCCCCCAAGTGTGGGGAGGCTTCCCTAATCTAGTGCCCTCCAGATGCTTGCATAGCCTGCTATGGGGGGTGGGACTGGACAACCCTTGGGGTCCCTTTCAAATTTTATGATTCTATGTTGATAGATTAAAACTCTCATGCTGGCATGAGTTATGGGGAAATCTCTAGACCTCCTAATGTTGTTGGACCCTAACCACCAACAACTCTGTCCAGGGTGGTCAATAGTCAGAACTGATAGGAGCTAGAGCCCAATAACATCTAGAAGGCCATAGGTTTCCCCCATCCCTAATTATTTTTAATGAAAATACTTATTCACACTCAAAGCTACAATAGATACATCTGGCACTGTCTTAGAAGAGGCGTTCTAGTTGATCTTCGAAATAGCAGGGAATGTCTCTTTTAAGAATGGAGCATAACATGAGAACATACACATTGAGCCCTATTTGACCAGAACCAAGGTCCGTCCAATCTAGCATCCTATTCTCACAGTGGCCGACCAGATGCCCATAGGAAGCCGTATGCAACAGCACTCTCCTCACTTAGGATTCTCACCAACTGGTCTTCAGAGGCTCACTCCCTCTGACATCGGGGGGCCTGCGGCCACTTTTCTCTGCATCAGTTAAAAGCAGATCGCCCTATCTTTCTTAATAACACACAGATCAATCCAAATAATCAGTTAATGGCTTTTAAAAAGCAACAGCACTGCCCCCGCAAAAATATCGTCTGAGTTCTCACCCAATAGGTGGGAGCCAGCCATCTCTCACCTCTCACATTGGAGTCTTCTTCCATCCGATGTGCAGGTACTAAGACAGTCACCTCCCGGTGCCCACGGTCCCAGAAATATTGTACGGCCAGAGCGATGCCCCGGCATGAGAAGAACTGGTTCAGACCGTGCCTACGAGGACAGATGATGACACTCAAAATGGCAGGACTATAAGAAGAATCACTTAGGTGAATCCACTGGCTATCCCAGCAAAGGAAGCAAGATACACAGCAGATCGTAAAAAGCATGGGTCCAAGCTGTATTCCGCTTGACCCACACTTTCTAGGCGCAAATCCAAGCAGTTTCCCCCTTGCCCCGCTCCTTTCAAAGGGAAAAACCGCTCTTTAGCGATAGATCAGAACAAATGGCAATCTGGGGAAAACCCAAGATGCTGTTTGCTCCGAATGAATACTAAAGAGCTGTTTTCTCAAGGGAGAGCAGTGGGAGAAGAGAAAGTGTGGATAACCCTGGGGTTAGCAGCATTGCGTGTTTTAAAGCAGTGCCTTCCAAATGTTTTTCCCCCTACAGATCACTTGAAAATTGCTGAAGATCTTGGGGAACCACTCAGTGATTTCTCTGCCTGCTGTATGCAGTATAATTTTCAGTTCTATTTTTTATTACTTTTATTTCTCATATAAATATATACAAAATAAAAGTAGCATTAAAAATTACAATTAAAAGTCAATATGAATATTTAATATGATGGATGTGCCATCTCCCATCTTTAAACACAAATCCACCTGAATGAAGCTCACAGGCCACCGGTGGTCCATGGACCAGTTTGGGAACCCCTGTTTTAGAGAACTGGTGAGCTACAAATGTAGATGAGTCTTTCCTTGGCCAGCCAAGGCAGAATTCCTAGAAGGTACATTTTTTACTATAACTGTGTATGTGTGTATCTATATCTATATCTATATCTAATCTATATCTATCTATCTATCTATCTATCTATCTCCAAGATGGAGAACCTGTTCTCCCGATGCTGTTGGGCCTCCCAGCTCACATCAGCCCCAGCCAGCATGACCAATAGTTAGAGAAGATGGGAGCTGCAGTCTTAACATCTGGAAAGCCACAGCAACCAACAGGGGCTATTGGGGCCTTCAGGATGGTATACTCTACCACAGCCACGCGGGAGATTATGCCTCTATGAGGGCAACAAAGGACTCCTAACAACTCTAAATATCCTTATCAAACTATAGTCCCCAGGATTCTTTGTGAGAAACTGTTTAAAGCAGTTATGTGCAGATGGGGTTTAAAAGACACCCCAACAAATTCACCATTATTCGTTTTCTTTTCACATTCGTTTCACACATTATGGTAAGACAATCTCCTTGGATTAAACCAGAGATATGAGATCCTGCATCCTCCAGATGTTGTTGGACTCCAGTTCTTATCAACCTCAAACACCATGGTCAATTATGGATTATGGGGAACATCTGTCCAGCAACATCTGGAGGGCTACAGGTTCTCCACCTCTTGACTTAACATTCTGTCTGAACCTAGGACCCTGGTATGTTTTCCCCGACAAACCACAATCCATAGACCAATACAAACCATTGTTTTAAAGGGAAACAAACCACCATATCAGGTTCATATATAACACTAAGCTATATCCCTCCTTGGTTTGTTTAGGCGCTTAAAAGGGAGGAGCAACAAAGAAAAGATTGAGCTGCACAACCCAGCATCCCCTCTAGAAGTTGCTAGACTAAAACTCACATCATCCTTGACCATTTGCCAGGCTGGCTTGGATGGCTAGGTACTGGAACCCAATAACATTTGAAAAAATGTCCACAAGATAGCTACCTCTGGTTTATAACAACCTCATGTACCACAGCCATACCAATAGGAAAAGCTCATTCCCAGGCTCCCTACAAACACACCACTCACATCATGGCCACATTGCTGCCATCAATGATGATCATCCGTAGGTTCTTCTTCCCTGGCGTGTTGGCCAACTTGAGCTTGAACTCAGTCTGGAGGGCTTCCTCAAAGCGCTGGGCTCCGGTTACTGTAGGAACAGAGCCTTGGTGGGGGAGCCCTAAGCTGCTGCTTTCTGCCGACTGGCTCCCCTCAGAATCGGATGTCGAGAACAGGTGACCACTGGGGGAAGGAGAGAAAGCAGCAACTTCTGGGTTGACTGGGGACAAACTGACGCCCTCGTGGAAAGGGGACCCACTGTTCCCCCCTCTCTCCTGAGGCCTCTGAGGCGAAGATTCCCTGTGATTCAAGATGGCCGCCCTCCAGGCACCAAGGTGTCCTCCATGTTCTAGCTTTGCTGCTGAGGCCCCCATTGCAGCCTCAGCCTCCTCTTGGTGTTCCCCCTTCTCATTGAGCCGCCTCAGCAGACCTGCCAATGGGGCTCCTGTCTGTATCTCTGTGGGGATCTCGCTTGGCGAGTGGCCACAGTTGGCTGCAGCTGCTTTGATGAGTTCCCGGAGATACTCATTTTCATCCTGGTTCTTTTCTGGTGGAGAGAGAGAGCGCTCTCTTCCCCCAGGCTCCGTCTGAGGGAGGACAACCCCTTCTTTCTGGGACGCCTCTGCCATCTGGACCCTGTCCAGGATAGTTGAAGGTGCCTCACATACCCCTCCCTCCAAGAGTATCTTCTTGACCACCCGTTCCTCATAGCCCATGGTTTTAAAGAAGTTCAGCCTCATTTTGAACTCCTTCTCCGTCCACGATGACAACAGGACATCTGACGATGGCTCCTCTTCACTGGTTTCCTCAGGCAAGCTGGCAGGGCTCGAGTCCCTTGCACAAAGAACATTCTTCCCCTCGTGACGATCCTGCAAAGACTCAGCTTGGCCTCCGTAACCAGGAAGAAACCGAGCCTGTGCATTTGGAATAGGTTTAGGGGAACTCTTGGGAAGTGCTGGCCTCGTGGGGGTTGTTACCTCAGGCCAACCCTGAGGACCATTCAAGCAAGACAGGTCGTGCTGAGGCCTACTGGGGAATTCAGGCTCACCAAAGCCTCTGGAGAAGTCAACCCTTGACACCTGAGGTAGAGTATGATCTTGAGGCCTACCAACCGTGACAGGCAAGTCAGTCCTAAAATCTCGAGGCCTGACAGAGGACTGCGGTTGTGTAGCCTCTTGTGGGGACTTGTGAGGAGATGCTTCAGGCCTAGCAAAGCCTGCAGGCGAATCAATGGTAGAGTCTCCAGTTCTACTCTGTTCTTGGACTCTACTGAGTCCCATGGGCAAGCCAAAGGTATTTTTACTTGGAGACTGAGGCCTGCCGCCACCACCCATGTTAGTTTCCCAGCCCACCAAATGGTCTTGCCCGAGGCTTGGTGCCCAACATCCGTTCCTTTGCCTGTGCTCCCCATCTTCTTCCTGAATCTCCTTCACCAAACTGAGCAACTCCTCCTTGACCGAGGTGGGAAGGATCAAGAGGTCCATAGCGTGTTTGTCATTGTAGGTTTCCACCAGCTCCAGGAAGGCCCGTTTGACTTGGGTCTCCTGTTCCTCGGGCAGCCTGAGGTTCTTCTGGTGCTTTTCCACAAAGTCCTGGATCCGGCTCTGCGCCATGACGAAGGATTCAGCCAAGCCGGAGACTAACAGAGTGCCAGGGCGAAGGAAAGTAAGGTTGGCAGATGTCCCTTGGGTGAGGCAGTCTAGGAACAACCCCTGGGCTCCCAGAAATATGCACTGCATGTCTTTGGGGTAGTAAACCTCTTCACTCAGCTCCGGTGCACAGAGACCTTTGATGTATTCCTGGAAAATAGAGCATATGTGACATTGCAGTTGGTATCCCCATGATGAGCAACCCCTCCACCTTTGGGAACACATACCATGAAAGGTAGTTTTATGACATAGTGAGTTTCTCCACTCCCTGTCATTAGCAGCTGAAGGCCTGTGTACATAATAAGAATACAATGGTGCTGGAAGATATGACCTTTGCAGGGGAGTTTTGCCATGGTGGCATTCCCATGCAGGGCATAATGCTCACTTCTGCTCTTTACAAGGGGCCATAGATCAACATCAGAGCATTTGCTTTTGCATGTAGAAGGTCCCAGACCTGTTCCTCACAATCTCCAGGATCTTGGAAGGCAGGCAGCAAAGGAAGACCCCCATGTGAGACCCTGGAAAGCCCCTGCCAGCCAGAAAAGACGTTACTTGGCAGGATAGATCTATGGTCTAAGGCAGTAAAAGGCTACTTCATATGGTGATACATAGCCACGTGCTTTGGGAAGGGCTGAGGCTCAGTGGGAGAGCATCTCATTTGCAAGCAGATGGTCCCAGATTCAATCCTCAGCATCTCCACAAAGGGCTACCCCAAAACCTGGAGAGCTGCTGCCCAACAGTGCAGGCAATATTGAGTAAGCTGGATCAATGGGCTGACTCAGCACAAGGCTGCTTCCTATGCTGGTATATTCCAGATGTGCTAGGTGCTTACTTTAACAGCAGAAGAGGCCAGTGGGTGGCGTCTCTGTCCTGGATTCCAAAGGCTAGTCCATGGGTAGGCAAACTAAGGCCCAGGGGCTGGATCCAGCCCAATTGCCTTCTAAATCCAGCCCGCAGATGGTCCAGGAATCAGTGTGTTTTTACATGATTAGAATGTGTGCTTTTATTTAAAATGCATCTCTGGGTTATTTGTGGGGCATAGATAAAGGTAAAGGGACCCCTGACCATTAGGTCCAGTTCTGACCATCTCTGGGGTTGTGGTGCTCATCTTGCTTTATTGGCCGAGGGAGCCGGCGTACAGCTTCTGGGTCATGTGGCCAGTATGACTAAGCCGCTTCTGGCGAAACCAGAGCAGCACACGGAAACGCCGTTTACCTTCCCGCTGCAGTGGTACCTATTTATCTACTTGCACTTTGACGTGCTTTCGAACTGCTAGGTTGGCAGGAGCAGGGACCGAGCAACGGGAGCTCACCCCATCGCGGGGATTCAAAACACTGACCTTCTGATCGGCAAGTCCTAGGCTCTGTGGTTTAACCCACAGCACCACCTGCGTCCCTGGGGCATAGGAATTCGTTGTTATTATTTTTTTCAAAATATAGTCCAGCCCCCCACAAGTTCTGAGGGACAGTGGACCGGCCCCCTGCTGAAAAGGTTTGCTGACGCCTGGGCTAGTCGATGGAGACCCACAGAAACCCTTACCGTCTCCCTCCCTCCCTCCCGCTCCTGCCCTTTCGCACCTTTGCCCTCTGCAAATTCTCTCTGCATCCCTGCAGCTGCAGCCAGATCTTCCTCTCTCCCTGGGGGTCCTCGCTGGGGCTCTGTGCCGACCCCAGGACCCCCAGGACATTCAGCTCCACCCCAAAGAGCTGCTCGATCCTGGGACGCTGCTGGGTCACCAACTCCCGCACCTCCTCGGAGACGGCAAATTCGTCCAGGGTCCTTCCACTGCTCGTCATGGCAGGAGATCACGACCACCGGCTGCGGGGCCACGTTTCCGTTCCGGAGATGAGGCAGGCCGTTATGTGGATAACGAACTGCGGAACGAAAACACGGGTTGAATGGGGGGAGGAAGGTTCTGGACGAAACCTGAATTTGAAATGCAGCAAGGGAGACGATGCAACTTCTGCAGGCAAAGGAAGACAACAGACAAGGAGAAGAGAAGACAAAGAGTTTGGATTTGATATCCTGCTTTATCACTACCCGAAGGAGTCTCAAAGCGGCTAACATTCTCCTTTCCCTTCCTCCCCCACAACAAACACTCTGTGAGGTGAGTGGGGCTGAGAGACTTCAAAGAAGTGTGACTGGCCCAAGGTCACCCAGCAGCTGCATGTGGAGGAGTGCAGACGCGAACCTGGTTCCCCAGATTACGTGTCTATCGCTGTTAACTACTACACCACACTGGCTCATCAGCACAAGATTCACAGGAGAGAAAACACAAGCTGCAATTCAGCGGCACACAGAAAATCCACAGAATGTGGAACTGCTTGCCAAGCAATGCTTAGCCTTCTAAGGACCTTTCTTTCCAATTCTTCTTGCTTTTCTTTTTATAAAGCAATCAAGGTCCTAGTTAAGAAGTAGCCAGGCCAGGCCCACAAAAGCCCAAGAAGCTGCAGAATAACATTTTCACGCCATTCCAAGGTTAGCAAATTCAGAATGAATTATGGAAAAAAATAACTACATAAAAAATGTAAAAAATCAAGCAGAAATAGGATTGTTTAAAAATGCAATGCAAGAGGAATTAGGCAATGCATGACTTGCCAAATCCTCTGACCTACCTGAAGCATGCATTTTTGCTGGAGTCCTTTAATACATTTCTAGTGTGGAGCTGACATGGCCCTGGGCTGTGAGATTGCGAGGTCTGGTGCTTGGTTTTATTTTAAAACATGGGGAAGAGCGTAAGGTGAAGCAACATGTACAAGGGCTGCTTTGCATATTGTAGAAGCAAAACCAAGAGGTTCACGGCCAGAAATATTGTGACCAGAAGATAAACATGGTCAAAATTAGTGTATAGTATTAAGTACTGTACAATATAAGGGACGCGGGTGGCGCTGTGGGTAAAACTTCAGCGCCTAGGACTTGCCGATCGCATGGTCGGCGGTTCAAATCCCCGCGGTGTGGTGCGCTCCCGTTGCTAGGTCCCAGCGCCTGCCAACCTAGCAGTTCGAAAGCACCCCCAGGTGCAAGTAGATAAATAGGGACCGCTTACCAGCGGGAAGGTAAACAGCGTTCCATGTGCTGCTCTGGTGCTGTTTGCCAGAGCAGCTTCGTCATGCTGAACACGTGACCCGGAAGTGTCTGCGGACAGCGCTGGCTCCCGGCCTCTAGAGTGAGATGAGCGCACAACCCTAGAGTCTGTCAAGACTGGCCCGTACAGGCAGGGGTACCTTTACTGTACAATATAAGGGACGCGGGTGGCGCTGTGGGTTAAACCACAGAGCCTAGGACTTGCTGATCAGAAGGTCGGCGGTTCGAAGGAGCTCCCGTTGCTCGGTCCCTGCTCCTGCAGTTAGAAAGGACATCAAAGTGCAAGTAGATAAATAGGTACCGCTCCGGCGGGAAGGTAAATGGTGTTTCCGTGCGCTGCTCTGGTTTGCCAGAAGCTGCTTAGTCATGCTGGCCACATGACCCAGAAGCTGTACGCCAGCTCCCTCGGCCAATAAAGCGAGATGAGCACCACAACCCCAGAGTCATCCGTGACTGGACCTAATGGTCAGACGTCCCTTTACCTTTACCTTTACTGTACAATACACACAGAAAGAGAGAGACCCAAGTGCTTTTCCTCTTGGGCATCTAGCATTTTAAGTCAATAACAAATGCATACATGAAATCAACTTTATGTTTATAAAAAAAAAAAATAGGCACCTAGGGCTTTGTCAACCAATCCAGTGCCTTTGGACTTATGGGCCCAACATTGGCTGGCTGGAGTAACTGGGAGGTCTCAGCTTATATATACCTCTTTACTTACTTCTCCGCAATCCAGAGGGCCAAAAACTATTTATTTGAAAGTGAAAGCTGAAAAAATATAGGGAAAGCAGCCAGTGGTGTATTTAGTTCTAATGTGCCACCCTGATCAGCATTTGTGTATTAGGAATATAGGCCACAGTTGGAAAAGGAAGGAATGAACTGCAAGCCCTAAGCCAGTTCAATAATGCAGGATGTGCATATAGTAAGTTAGTCAATACAGTATTCGGACTTTGTCCCACAAATAGATTCTGGGCTTCTTTCCTGAATTTTTGGGTTTTTCCTCTTTTTAAATTAAGTTTCTAGTCCTGTTACAAAGAACGGGGCGGGGGGCATGTACTGGCAGTAATGTACCTAATTTCTTAATAAGGCATAAACCTGCTCTCACATTTCTGAGTTGTGTAAACAGGGAACACTAATTAATGATTGACCCTACAGGGCTGTAGTGAGGGCAGGCCAGATAATTACACTAGAAAGAAGCCAGGGATTGGACAGAATTGATTAGAAAATTGTTATTGGTAGAGCCAGTGCGGTAAAGGTAAAGTTAAAGGACTCCTGAATGGTTAAGTCCAGTCAGAGGCAACTATGGGGTTGCGGCACTCATCTCGCTTTCAGGCCAAGGGAGCTTGCGTTTGTCCAAAGACAGCTTTCCAGGCCATGTGGCCAGCATGACTAAACTGCTTCTGGTGCAATGGAACACCATGACAGAAACCAGAGCTCATGGAAACGCCATTTACCTTCCCGCCGCAGCGGTACCTATTTATCTACTTGCACTGGTATGCTTTCAAGCAGCTAGGTTGGCAGGAGCTGGGACAGAGCAACGGAAGCTCACTCCGTCGCAGGGATTCGAACCACCGACCTTCTGATCAGCAAGCCCAAGAGGCTCAGTGGTTTAGACCACAGTGCCACCCACGTCCGTAGAGCCAGTACGGTATAGAGTTTTGGACAGGAAGCTCTGGGTTCAAATCTCCAGTCAGCCACGAAACTAACCGGGTGATCTTGGGCCAGTCACTCCTAGCTTAGCTTGCCTCACAGGGTTGTTGTGAGGATAAAATAGAGAAGCATGAGAGCCAAAAATGGAGCAAATAAATAAAGTTTTCTTAATGCGGAGCAGGGGAAACATAAGAGGGACAGAGGTTATAGGAAATTGTTGTTCTTGCAAATAAACACTGAAGGGCTATAGCTCAATGGAAGCTATTTGCTTTGTTTGCAGAAGGTCTCAGTTTAAATACCCGGCTTCTCCAGGTGGGGCTGGACACACCTGTCTAAAACAAGTGGGAGAATCGCTGAGTCAGCTAAATGGAAAAATAGAGTGACTCAGTATAAGGAAACATTGCTAAAAGATGAAACAACATTTAAGTCAAGGAGGGGGAAAACCTGTGGCCCTCCAATGTTGCTCAACTCTACCTCCCAACAATCCCAACAAGTATAACCCATGGTCAGGGATGGGGACAGTTGATTGCAACGACATCTGAACCGCCACAGGACATAAATGCAACCAATATCAGAAGGATCAATGTCTACCCGGAGCAAAAGGCTAGTTAGCCTGTTGTAGGCAAACTTTAAGAGAGAGCCTGGTGGCACCTTAAAGCCACAATTTATTCTCCCTGGGGAAAAAACATGGATCTCCATTTTTATTTTGTAAAATAAACATGAAATCTATCCTTCAGCGGAAAGAGAAGAGCTTGAATATTTAAACGGACAGCAAAGCCTTAAAAGCGAAGTGAAATCCTGCGGCTCATCCATCGGGCAAAACAACACCGCTGGTTTATCTCAAAGAAGCTTTGAGACAAAACACCGAGGCAGGAAACAGTCGGATGTACGCAAACAAAAGCTCACACCCCCCGTGACATGCCTTTTCACGCAGAAAGGGCCTTGCAAACAACGGAACGAGCTTTGCTCCTGGAAAACCCTCTTCTGCCTCTGACAGCGCCCACTGTTTACAACCGATTCCCACCCAGCCTAAAAATCTGCGCACCGTTGACCAAGCGCCTGTTGCGCCCTAAGCGTAAAAAAAACAACCCGTTCCTCTTTAATGCGCCCCCTCCAAAACACACACCCCTTTTTTAAATTCATAGCTACACGTCCTTTTACACAATGTAATCATTTTGGGGCAGAGGGGCGATTCCGCGCCCGATCCTTCCCACTCGTGACAGGGAGAAGGATCCTGCCCCGCTTCTCCTTTTTCCAAGGAGACCCCGTCGGTCCCGGGACACCCACCCCCTGACCCCTCCTCACCCGCCTCCCCGACACTTGGCAGCTCTCCTCCGTCTCCTACCCGCTGGTGTTGGCGAGGGAGTCCCAGCAACGCCGGGCCGAGGGTGAGGATCCAGCCAATCCCATCTCTCGCCTCGTCTAGGTTTTGGTTTTGTTTCTCATCGCTTCTCGACCCGAGTTTCAGCTTCCATTTTGGAGCGATGCGGAAACGCTTGAGCAGCCGCGGAGTTTCCCTGCTGGGCGGCGCGTCTCGGTCCAGGGAGGAAGGAGGGCTTTCACTTTGCAAAAGGCTTCCTGTACAAGTTTTTAAACTTCCTCCCTTGCAGTGCGAAGCGCGTTACTTGCGAAATTCAGTTACGGGGCGGGGGTCTTCCTCCTCCTCTCTTGCCTAGGAGAGGGAGCTGTGAGGAATAGCCGGCCTCTGAGTATGGGGAGAGTTCTGCGCAACCAGAAATTATTGGAGGAGGAAGGACCGTTGCTGAAAGGGGTCGTGGCTCAGTGGTGGCGCACGACCTTTGCGCGCAAGAGATCTCGGGTTCAGTCCCTGGCACCTCCAGGTAGGGCTGGGGGAAATAGCCTGTCTGAAAGACGCCAGAGAGCCCCTGCCAGTCAGTGTTGGCAGGCATAAGCTAGAATGGACCAATGGTCTATCAACTCAAGCAACGCCCTACCTATGTTTCTAAATACTGCAAAAAAGCCTCTGTGCATGTAACCTGGTCCCAAACCAGGGACCAGGGCTTTAAATTCTGCTGGGATAGCTTTGAAGCTACAGCATGAGCGAGCCCCACTTTGGGCAAAAGATTCCTGCATTGCAGGGAGTTGGACTAGAATCTAAAATTCTAATATTCTAAATGGCTGAGATCATTAACACTTCTTACACCGAACCCAGAAACAAATAGGCAGGCAACCAAAACCAGAGAGAGATGAAAGGCATTCAGGAATATCCTGAGTTCACACACACATTTGACACATGCAAATTGAGTTGTCAAGTAGTACAGGACACTCAGTGAGATCCCCATCCCCACAATGATGGTGATTTGAAGGCAGGTCTCAGACAAGGGATTGCCATTACCATTATCAAAAGTCTTTCATCCCCCCCCCTTTTTTTTTTAAGCAAGCAAGAACAGGATGACTGAAGATGGTCAAGGTGAGAACTAAGGCAGGAAAGTCTTGGAAGGGATTATGGAAATTGTAGGAACCGCTCATTTCACAGCCCCCCTCCCCCTCTCCATTGACATGCCCTGGCAAAAAAGATATTAAAAAGCCATTAGATTCAAAGGTTATCATTTGGCTCTTCTAGCTCCAACAGGACAACGCTTATCCCAGCGCTAAGGACAGGTCTTGTAGTTTATGCCCACATTTCTGTAGACCTCTTAGAATAGTTAGGGAATATTTTACTCTTTAATCGAGGTGTGTATGTGTTGCAATTTGCTACCTGCTTAGACTGCAACTTTGCCATCCAAAGCAGCAGTTTTATATATTTTGTCACTCCTATTTTCTATAATAAACCAAGCTTTCTTTCTTTCTTTGTGTGAGAGTTCCTTGTGGATGCACACATCCATAACAAGAAGCGCACATCATAACCCCAGCAGGAGATCCTAGACCTCTCAGCAGTGTGCACATGAATAAACATGAGTGTCGGCTGCGCATGTGTGAATCCAGGTACACACTCATAACACATCCTCTGTTTAAAAGTTTCCCCATGAAGGAGAGCCCACCAGCTTATGAGGGAGTCCGTTCCACCGCCAAACAGCTCTTGCCCCCAGAAAGTTCTTGTTGTTGTTTAATTCCTGAGTTCTGAACATCAAAGACCTGCAAGCCTTCTGCCGGCTGCTCCCCTTTTCCTGCCCTGTGGTCGCAAAAGGGCAAGATGGGAAATGTTTAGGTGGGCAGAGCCACCTGCTAAGCGCCCCCCCACCCAATCAAATCTCAGCCATGTGACAAGCCTCCTCTTTGTCTTAGGGTCAGGTGGGGAGCATTATCACCCTCACACTGGCACCATGCTGCTAGGGGTGGGGGCAGCACTTCTCGAAAGCATGCCTGTGACTGTGGGAAAAGTCCACCACTCTCCCCTCTCCAGCTCTGAACATGAAATTCCTGAGGCGCAGTGCAGAGCCAGGGGTAACCCCTGCATACACTCATACACACACTTGCAGGAAGGAGGAGGACCCTGGCGACCATACCTCTTGGGTTGGCTACTGAGGCCAGCTAAAATGTGTGGAGAAAGTAATATCAAGAGGTAATTGCAACAAAATGTTGCAGTGTGCAGTGCCCTGCTGTTCCTGAATATCCACGGTACTCCATTGTCCCTCTTGCCCAGTCCCCACCTGTCCCCAACAGTTAGTCAACTCTTTTGTCTTACTCCAGGCATGTCCAAAGTCCTTTTCGGGAGCCTAATCTGGCCCACCAGTCGGTTTAATCCAGCCCCTGTGGCAGTTTACTTCCTGAGGTAAAATCTGCCAAAACGCTCAACAACTTTGTGGTAAAACTGTAAAATAAACTGTAAAAAAAAAAAAAGCTCAAGAATTTTGGGGTAAAATTGTATAAAAAGCTCAAGAATTTTGGGGTAAAATTGTAAAAAAAGCTCAACAACTTCAATCCTTAAAAAGCTCAATAACTTTGGTTGGCCCTCACACATGTTCACTTCATCAAATCTGGCCCTCTTTGAAAAACATTTGGGCACCCCTGTTGCTCAGTCCTCATTGGGCAATGTTCAGGGTTTTCCCCTCCTTTCAATTTGTATTCAGGGATTTTTTTCAGCTGGAACTCACCGGAACTGAGCAGTTCAATCACCTCTCAGGCGGATGCCATTGTCATTATAAAAGAGGCATTCGTGGTGAGTTCTGGCACCTCTTTTTCTAGAAAAACAGCAGTGCCTGTACTCTAGGTAGGTTTTAGTTGGTTTTTTTCTTACTTCTGTAAGCTTAAGGTTTCGTGCCAATACCTGCCCCTTGTACGTGGCTGGTGCTGTTTTGGCTACAGAAGGAATGTCTCTTGCACCCGGACATTGTTAATAGCGGGGCTGATAAAAGGAACATGGAAGGGATGCCCTGCTCTTGGAGACTATTGGAAGGAGTAAGCACGGGCTGTGTTCCATGGACTGTTTTCTTCCCGCTCCTGGCTTCCACCCATGTGCACCCACACCTCCGCAGATACATGCCTTTGCCCTACAGACCCAGAGCTCACTGGGGAAGTTCCAGGTTGCAAAATCCTCTGGCCAAGAGGTAGGTGTGGCTCCAGCAGCTACACTCAGCTGGCTTGGGGTTGTTGTTTTTCCCCCTTCCTTTCTTTCTCTCTCATAACCATTGTCTCAGTCTTTTCCTTTTCTTCTTTTAATTCAGTGAAAGGAAACTCTGACACGTTAAGCTTGGAGCTTGCTGCTGTTTTAAAAGTATGTCCTGTTGCAGGAATTCATGTATAGGTTTTTTTTTGGGGGGGGGGTTGCCCCTCCAGCAGATATCATGCACATGCAACCCACTACCAAAATCAGTGCAATCACTTTTGTGACTTCTGTGATTTGTCCCCACAAAACACTTCATCACAGTTTTTTCCTATCTATTCAAAGGGCCTCTGCAGCACAATCCAAAATGTAACAATTTACTGATAAATGTATCTGTGTACTGGCTCACTGGGAAAACTTCAGAAATTCATATAGACATGTGAGCTCAGCTACTCAGCAGCCCCTCTGCTTGAGTGATAATCCTGATACCTGAGTGCCAGACAGGTAGCCATTCCAGGAAAAAAAACCCAGATGAAGACAAAAGGGTGTGATTAACTTGGCTGGGAAACAGGGAAATGTAAATATCTCTTTTGTTACACTTGATGGGTGTTTGGTGGAGGGCAAGGGGAACCGTGGGGCAAGGTCCAGGATGCTCAGATTACTGCCACCAGACCTCCCCTTTCATGATGTAACCATGATGTATTAGTGATGTAGTTTGGGGGGGTGACATGGGGATTAGCAGCTAATAAAAGTTTGGGTTTTCTTTTGTTCGGGGCTTCCATCTTGTTTCACCTTGTGGCAGGTGGGAGTCCTGTCGCGACAGTCTTCAATAAAAACCCGGCCTACTGGCTGCTGTTTTGCTCTGGTATTCCTGCCTAGTGTCCTTGTTTTTTGTCCAAGGGAGCCCTCAGATTTCTCTGTTAACAGTCCCTGTACTGCACATTCATGTTCCCCCACTTTGGGCTACTTATGGGGAGCCTCTCACCTTTGTTTATGTAGACCACAAGCAGATTCCGAGGGTCCCTGCTGTTGCCCCTGGTGCAGCACCCAAACAGCCCCCTTTTTACCACAAAAACTTAGCCGAAGCTGCATACACAACATACATTCAAAGCATGTTTTCCACCCTCCCGCAAGAATGCTGGGGAAAGTAGTTTGTTAAGGGTGCTGGGAAATGTAGCTCCATTGTGGGTGAGCTACAGTTCCCAGGATTCTTTTTAGTGGGGAGAATGGTGTGTGCACAGCCTTAGGCACCTTGGGCTTCGTCTGAGAACACAAAAGCCATGCTGGATCAGACCAAAGACCCATTTGACACAGCATTCTGCTCTCGTATCAGATGCCAATGAGAAGACCAGAAGCAGGACTTGGACACAACAGCATCCTTCCCACTTGAGATTCCCAGGAACTGGTATTCAGATGCATAATTCCTCTGACAGTGGAGCTGGAACACAGCTATTCTTGCTTGCAGCTGTTGATAGCTTTGTCTCCCATGAATCTGTATAATCATCTTTTAAAGCGATCAGAATTGGCAACCATCACTATCTCTTGTGTAGGGTGGATAAAAATAATAATAACTGGATTTTTTATTTAAATCGGATTTTTTAAAAAAATTAAATCGGATTTTTAAAATAAAATGCCTTGGGTGAAAAACTCTTTCTAAAGATAGTTTTCGATTTAAGTTACATTATAGTCCAAAGCATGGGTCGGCAAACTAAGGTCCGCGGGCCGGATAAGGCCCAAATGCCTTCTGGATCCGGCCTGCGGACGGTCCGGGAATCGCTACATGGATCGCCAGCGTGTACGTTCTTTCCCTCTTCCTCCTGCTCCCTCACATGGTGCCGGCGCCTCCTCCCTCCCTCCTCCTGGCTTCTCCCCGCCCTGCCTAGAGGAGGAAGGGGGCTGGGCTTTGTTGGTGCCAGCAGCAGCAGCACTCGAGCGGCCACCATTTTAAGCAGCCCCTCTCCAGAGCCCTTTCGCACACCGCTCATTGTCCCTCCACTGCCACTGCCAGCTCCTGCCTCTCACAAGACACAGGTAAGCAGCCACCGGGGCTCATGGTGCTCTTGCATCATCCCCCCCCCCAAAAAAAATATAGTCCTGCCACCCACAAGGTCTGAGGGACAGTGGACCAGCCCCCTGCTGAAAAAGTTTGCTGACCCCTGGTCCAAAGGCTTTCCATCAGGATGTAAGGATTTGCTTTACGTTTTTCATGTGTGCTAAAACTCGGTCTAAGGTTTTGGTTTTTAAAAAATCCTTTAACCATATCAGTTAACAAATATGGATACATATGCTATAATGTTATTGTTTTAGTTAAATAAATTGTTTAAATTGTTATTAAGAAAATGATTACTTCCAATAAAGTAAAGCAGAAAAGTTGTCCAAATATAAACAGTTAACTTATTAAACCTCACAATAATTTCATAATTATCTGTCAATGTATTTCTAATAGTATAACCAAATCAGTAATTTTTGATATAACTGTAAAAACTACTCTGAAAATTTATTATCCCAAAAATGAAACCATCTGGTTTTAAATATGCAAAAATGAGTCTTTCTGTAAAAAAAATGATTTAAATCAAGTCTTACTGACTACAGTAGTGATTTAAATCGTGATTTAAATTGATTTGATTTAATTCAAATCCACCCTGCTCTTGCGGGAACCAATTCTATAGTTTAACTCTGCTGCAACTATAGCTTAACTGAGCTACAGCTAGGTCCCAGACACTATTTTCATTATCAGGGGTTCAGCCCTGGGACATGCGAAGGAAGAATGAGGCTCAGGAGTATGCTTGAGCATGGGCAGAGTGCTTTCGAACAACTGCACAGTAACCTCCATCAGCCCCTACGTTATTTTAACAGTCACACCTTCTGCCCTGGAAGGTCTTAGGTATCTGTTCACTTAATTCCATTTATGAATTGCTTCCTGTGAGACATCTCATGGCAAATGCGTAAATGGATGCATTTGTATTTTGCAATTTCATGTTGTGAACTGCCCTTAGGTCAGACATTTTAATTTATAGAATCGTAGCATTGGAAGGGACCCTGATGGTCATCTAGTCCAACCCCCTGAAATGCAGGAAGCTTTTTGGCCAACGTGGGGCTCAAACCTATGACTCTTTAACACCATTCTTTCTCATGGCGTGCTTCACAATGAATGTGGCAGAAACACAAAAGTATTTTCTGAGTGCTTATCCACAACCACATTCCACGATTTCAAGATCCATATCTGAGCTCCCCCTGCTTTTTGCTTTGCTTTGCTTTTTTTGCTCCGGAGCTTTCCTCGTGAAAACCCACTCTTTAAAGCTCAATCGGAACAAATGTCTATCCACGGAAAATTCAAATTGATGCTTGCTCTGATTCAGCTTTACAGAGCTGGGTTTCGCGGGAAACAAACAAACAAACAAACAAACAAACACAGACCTCTGCCTGGGGAAAAACAGGGCAAAAGTTAAGTGTGGATAAGCCCAGACACTTCTGAGAGCTAACAGGCCAATCATTTGCATGCTTGCTTAAAATTAAGTCCCATACTGTTCAGTTGGCATAGCAGATACAGGCAGGCAGAGAAGAAGAGAGATGCTGGCTGTAGGGGGGGCAAATTGCTTCTGATTGCTACTGGATAAGTGCAATGACCACCCACAACGGCAGCAAGAATGCGTGTTAACAGGGTCCCCCTATATGCTAATTTTACACCTGCAGTGGGAAGGAAAAAGCCTTGCTTGAAATGAGGCCTAAAAACACAGAACCAGGCTTACTCGATCGACACTCGCAGGCTCTCACAACATTGGCATCTATCCCACAAAGGCTTTTCTCACAACAAAGCTGATAATCTCTAAAGCAGAAGCTGGGAACCTTTATCAACACAGGGGACGCAGTCCTTCCCAGGCAACTTCCCAGGGGCCTGGTGCCAGCAGTGGGAGGAACTACAAACGTGAACTTTTCCTTTGTTTCTGCTCACAGTCACACACCCCTCTCTTCCATCCAGGCAACCAAGCAGCCTTATCTGAGTTCAAGGACTCGTTCTCTCCTGGCAACAACAGTCAAGGAGGGTTTGAAGCAGAACCAACAGGGAAGGGGGGCCATGTCCTGAGGGCTGGATAGAGAAGCCCTGGGGAAATGAAGTTCGCCTGAGGTTCCTTCTCTTCTTTAAAGTTCTGCAAGGCTCTTCTTTTGTCTGCACTGGGACAGACAAAACAAGACTACAGTGGTACCTCAGGTTACAGACACTTCAGGTTACAGACGCTTCAGGTTACAGACTCCACTAACCCAGAAATAGTACGTCAGATTAAGAACTTTGCTTCAGGATGAGAACAGAAATCACGCGGCGGCAGCAGGAGGCCCCATTATCTAAAGTGGTAACTCAGGTTATGAACAGTTTCAGGTTAAGAACAGACCTCCAGAACGAATTAAGTTCTTAACCCAAGGTACCACTGTACTAGGTAAAAAGGAAAAGGACCCCTGGACAGTTAAGTCCAGTCAAAGGCATGGCTGTAGCCAAGATTTTTGGGGAATGGGCAGGCCTTTTGTTAGAGGGGGCAGGCCTTTTGGGGGGGGACAAGAACCTCAGTTTGCTATGTATTTTTATTTATTTTTATTGATTGGGGAGGACAGCTTCCCCTCCCTACCCCCTTGGCTACACCCATGGTCAAAGGTGACTATGAGATGCGGTGCTCATCTCGCTTTCAGGCCAAGAGAGCCACTGTTTGTCCACAGACGGCCTTCCGCGCCACCATGACTAAACCACTTCTAGCACAACGGGACACTGTGACAAGTGCCCGATTGCACGGAAACGCCGTTTACTTTCCCGCCACAGTGGTACCTGTTTATCTACTTGCGCTGGCGTGTTTTCGAACTGCTAGGTCGGCAGAAGCTGGGACAGAGCGACGGGAGCTCACCACGTCGCGCAGATTCGAACCACTGATGTTCCGATTGGCAAGCTCAAGAGGCTCAGTGGTTTAGACCACAGCACCACTCGCATCCCTACAAGGCTACTATTCTGGGATTTGTCACCAGGGAACGAAACGTAAGGAGAGCCTGCTGGATCAGGCCAGTGGCCCATCTGGTCCAGCATCCTGTTCTCACAGAGGCCAAACAGAGGTCTGTGAGAAACCCACAAGCAAGACCCCAGGGCAAGAGCACTTTCACCACTGTGGCTTCCAGCAACTGGTATTCACAGGGTTCCGTCTTGGGCCCGGTCTTATTCAACATCTTTATCAACGACTTGGATGATGGACTCAAGGGCATCCTGATCAAATTTGCAGATGACACCAAACTGGGAGGGGTGGCTAACACCCCAGAGGACAGGATCACACTTCAAAACGACCTTGACAGATTAGAGAACTGGGCCAAAACAAACAAGATGAATTTTAACAGGGAAAATGTAAAGTATTGCACTTGGGCAAAAAAATGAGAGGCACAAATACAAGATGGGTGACACCTGGCTTGAGAGCAGTACATGTGAAAAGGATCTAGGAGTCTTGGTTGACCACAAACCTGACATGAGCCAACAGTGTGACGCGGCAGCTAAAAAAGCCAATGCAATTCTGGGCCTCATCAATAGGAGTATAGCATCTAGATCAAGGGAAATAATAGTGCCACTGTATTCTGCTCTGGTCAGACCTCACCTGGAGTACTGTGTCCAGTTCTGGGCACCACAGTTCAGGAAGGACACTGACAAACTGGAACGTGTCCAGAGGAGGGCAACCAAAATGGTCAAAGGCCTGGAAACAATGCCTTATGAGGAACGGCTAAGGGAGCTGGGCATGTTTAGCCTGGAGAAGAGGAGGTTAAGGGGTGATATGATAGCCATGTTCAAATATATAAAAGGATGTCACATAGAGGGGGGAGAAAGGTCGTTTTCTGCTGCTCCAGAGAAGCGGACACGGAGCAATGGATCCAAACTACAAGAAAGAAGATTCCACCTAAACATTAGGAAGAACTTCCTGACAGTAAGAGCTGTTCGACAGTGGAATTTGCTGCCAAGGAGTGTGGTGGAGTCTCCTCCTTTGGAGGTCTTTAAGCAGAGGCTTGACAACCATATGTCAGGAGTGCTCTGATGGTGTTTCCTGCTTGGCAGGGGGTTGGACTCGATGGCCCTTGTGGTCTCTTCCAACTCTGTGATTCTATGATTCTATTCTATGATTCTATGATTCAGAAGAATCATCGCCTCCGACTGTGGAGGCAAAGCTCATAAGCCATTGATAACCTTTTCCTCCCTGAATTCACCCCCCCAAGTGCTTTGCACATGCACAGAAGCTTCCTCTTACTCCAGGGCCACTGGAAACAGGCCCCAAAGCTAAGGTTTGGGGAAAGACTTGAATCAAATTCGGGCAGCTGTAAACACAGCCAATTTTCTGAGGAGCGAAAATCCCACCCCCACACCCCTTTTTGCCATCACCCCAGATTTCTGGGCCCTCTACTTTCTGCCCCAGCGTTCTTACCAGCGACAGCTGAGGTCTCTTCAGGATCCCCTCTCTTCTGCGCACTGACTATGCGGCAAACCGAACCAGATGTGGGGCTGACAGTTGACGCTGTTCCTTTTCTGTGGGAAATTCCCCTTCATAACTCACTGCCCACCCACCCGACCTTGCTCCAGGCAAGTCCGAAACTCTAGTGCCACCTAGTGACCAATTTCACGCAAGAGGGGTTTTGAATTTGTTTTCCCTTCACGTGCCAACACAGCTGCCTTAACTTTTCGTACGGTGCAATTTTGCATGGTGCAGGGCAAGTGGATAGAGAAATGCTTTCCAGCCTCTCATGAAACTAGAACTCGAGAATATTCAGCAAAGCAAGATGTTAGAAATTCAAGGCAAGACAAAATGAAGTACCTCTCCACACAGTGGTTAGTTCTACTATAGAATTTGCTTGGCAAGGAATAGCATTGGGCATCAACCTGGGTGATTAGAAGAGGGCTAGACAAATTAATGGAAGGCAAGGCTGGGTGATATATCAATACAGTAATACCTTGAAAATCAAATGGAATCTATTCCGAAAGTCCATTTGACTTTCAAAATGTTCAAAAACCAAAGCATGGCTTCTGATTGGCTGCAGGAAGCGCCTGCAGCCAATCGGAAGCTGTGGAAGCCATGCTGGACACTTGGCTTCCGAAAATTGTTTGAAAACCAGAACACTCACTTCTGGTTTCTGATTGTTTGGGAGTCGAAACGTATGAGTTCCAAGGCGTTCAGCAACCAAGGTACGGTTGTATTTCGCCCCAAACCAGTTTGAAATCCATATTGTCGTATTGGTTTCATAGTTTTTCCACCTGGCAATGTATAGTGAATCACGATGTCTGTGAGGGTGCGTGCGCTATGCAAAAATCACAGTGTGGGAAAAACTTCGAAGCCAGCCAGTGCCTCTCTATAGCACCATCCTTATTTCAGACACTGATATATCAGTATATCGTGATGCTTAGCTGGTTATATATCACCATGTTGAAAGCCAGATATCACCCACACCTAATGGGCACTGTTGGAGACAGGGTGCCTCTGAACGCCCATTGCAGAGAATTGCAAGAGCTGGTGTGCTCAGGTCCTGCTTTGAGCTGCCCACAGGAATCTGGTCTGCCACTGTGAGAATAGAATGCAGGACTAGATGGGCCATGGGCCTAATTCAGCAAGCCTCTCTGCTTCAGTTCTTATAATAGACAGGCAATAGAGGAGACAGAGTGCTCAGTTCCAAGTCTGAGGGCTGCCCTTCTATGGTTTCACCCCTAAACCAATAGAAGTTGACAGTCAGGGCCTGGAAGGAGAGGCATAATTTGAGGTTGGGGTTTGTTCTAGAGATCCTGCTCATTTTGGGCATTTGTTTGCAGAGAGCTTAGACCAAGCATTTGTTCAGATCTGTTTACAGGGAGGTTAGGTTCAGGAACGCGGGTGGCGCTGTGGTCTAAACCACTGAGGCTCTTGGGCTTGCAGATCGGAAGGTTGGCGGTTTGAATCCCCGTGATGGGGTGAGCTCCCGTTGCTCGGTCCCTGCTCCTGCCAACCTAGCAGTTCGAAAGCACGTCAAAGTGTAAGTAGACAAATAGGTACCACTCCAGCAGGAAGGTAAACGGCGTTTCCGTGCACTGCTCTGGTTTCACCAGAAGCGGCTTAGTCATGCTGGCCACATGACCTGGAAGAACTGCCTGTGGACAAACGTCGGCTCCCTCGGCCAGTAAAGCGAGATGAGCGTCACAACCCCAGAGTCGTTCGTGACTGGACTTAACTGTCAGGGGTCCGTTACCTTTACCTTTTAGGTTCAGGAAGCTGTTATTCCACATTTCCTAGTGCATTTCCCCCTTACATTCCTCACTCCTCAAAGTCCAGCTTTTGTGTGGGAGGTTGTTCCTCAAGAATGCCAAATCAACTTCTGTTCAGTGTTTTGCCACTTGCCCCTTGTCTAGAGGGCACGGGTTCGGGCAGTTTCCCACTTGTTCCTCACTTTCTAAGCTGGGGTCTGGGCAGTTTTGCCCTTTCCTCACAGCTTTCCCTGGGAAAACACACTTTTTTCAGTGACAAATCGGTGCAAAACATCCATCCGGAGAAAATCTACTTGGCATTTGCTCTGGTTCAGTAGTAAAGATTGGATTTCCCTGGAGGAAAGTGGAGGGATACGGACAAACCCGGATGGCCCTGGAAAATAGTGACAGTTTGTAGTTGCTCAGGCACAGTGATCTGTCCATGGTCCTGAAAGTCTCCTGTCCAACTAGACTTCTCCATGCCCTGGACCTATGCTAGTATCTCCTCTGTCTGTCTGTCTGTCTGTCTGTTTCTTTCTCTCTTATGTCCTCTAGGATACTGAACTATCTGCCTCTTGATCATGGACCCCAGACTGCTGGCTGGTCCTACATCCTGAGTCATGTTGTAACTTTCATCCTTCAGGGAGCCAAGGTGCATATGCACATGAAGCTGAGCATGGTTACATCTGTTAGGATATTTCAGTTCCACCTTAAACAGGGAGCAGGCTGTTGTTTGAGTCACAGTCTGCGTATTTCCTGCTCACAGGAAGTTACTGTTTTGTATCTAGCTGTTGTTTTCTCTCTGTGCCTGAACACACAGACAGGCAGTCATGTTTTTTCGTTGTTCTGACCAACGCTGAATAAAGTTGTAAATATGCTCTCCTGAGTGCATCTTTCGTTGTGCTAACTCTGCTGATAGAGCGTGCACCAGTCCTTGGAATGTGGAAAGCTATTTCTGAGGCTTGTGTCGCTAATTGACTGATACTGCATTTCTACGGGAGATCGATGGATCGTCCGGAGACAGCGTGGGGGCATGATGGCCTTTGTCTCCCTGGCAGTATCCCAACAACAGGTTTCGGGCCCAGATTCACGGCACTTACAGGAGAGTAAGACTGCGAAAGACTGCTGTGAGGTATGTGGGGAAAAGCGAAAGTAAGGCTTTTCTGTTGCCGCGGCAGAGTCAAAGAACTCCGGCAGGCTAATTAGCCTGGGAGCCGAGCCAGAGGCTTCAAGATTTATGAGTTGCCAAGACAAGGAGCTTTTGAAAGAAATAAGACTCACGGCTCAAGTGAAGAGCTGGAATGGAGTTTTTCCAAGCCTCTGAAGGCACTCAGTGCCCAAAGTTAAATCGGCACAATTATGAGACTTGGGCAAGTTGCTGTGAGAGCTTGCTGCGACAGTTTGGAGTGTGGCATACTGTGTGTGAAGCCCCTCCAGTTCCTCTGACAGATAGATGGAAGGCCCAAGATTCAAAGGCCATAGACGTAATAGTCTTGTCCGTCTCTCTGGAGGAAATAGCAACACTGGCTGGCAACACCACAGCACGTCAGATGTGGAATGCTTTGAAAGTAGCCCATCTGCCGGTCATCCCAGCCCAGAGTTTGACTGCGTCGGAGGTTCTGGCTGTTTCCCAGATCGAGAGTGATTGCAGGGATGCTGAGGGCACCGGTTGCAAGCTGCAGGGGGAGCTGACTGTGATGTCATCCCAGGCAGCATTCCAGCCTCCAGGGGGAGCCAAGGAGTCGGCAGCTGAGAGCTCTGTTTCTCATGAGAGCCAAGGTCATCCTCACAGATACCGGAAGGCCAGAAGTAAACAGAGACAGATGCCTGCAGATGGCCTGAAGCAGAAGGGGGGTGGAAAGCCCACACCGGTGGAAAACAAGGTTTTGTTTGCTGGCACTGCTTCACCAAAAGCCAAAGGCAAGTTTGATGGCCAGGAGCAGGGGGGCAAGCAGCAGGAGCCCAAGCCAGTGGAAGACAAGGTTTTGCTTGCTGGAAAAGCTGCTCCAAAGGCCAAAGCCAGATTTGTTGTAGATTCGGGAGCCACACAGCATTTGGCGAAAGATAAACATCTTTTTATCTCCTTCACGCCTCAAGATGGTGAGATCCACCAGGCTGATGGAAAGACGTTGCGAATTGCAGGAGTTGGGAATGTGAGACTGGCAAGTCTGCACACAACCATCAGAGATGTACTTTATGTTCCAGATTCTGCAGACAATTTGCTCAGTGTCCCACAGCTGATTGGGCGTGGCTTTGAGATTTCCTTCAAGAAGAGCGTCTGTGTCATCAGGAAAGGCAAAGAGGACATTTTGCATGCAAAGTTTATAGATGGTTTGTTCTGTATAACTTATGATGACAATGGTGTTGCTGTGTCTAATGTTGATTCTTGTTGTGTTGCACAAACTAACAAAGTTCTTCATGCTGGATGCATTCACGAGGCGCACAGAAGATTTGGTCACATGTCTTGGCAGGCACTGGCCAAGATGCCTGGATTGGTTCAGGGTTTGAACATCAAGCCCTGTAAGTTTCACATGAAATGTGTATCTTGTGCAGAGAACAAGGTGAAGGTTGCTCCAAAAGGCAAGGAGTCTAGCAGGCAGGCTTCCAAACCCTACCAGCTAGTCCACGCAGACCTGGTTGGTCCACTTGCACCCTCTGTGGGTGGATCAAGGTACTTCATGGTTTTAATTGATTCTTTTTCCAGGTACATTCATGTGTTTATGCTCCAGCAGAAATCGCAAGCATTTCCTAGGTTCAAGGCATTCTGTGCATGGTTGGAGAATGTTCACAGTAAACACATTGGCTGTTTGTTTACTAATCGAGAGGCTGAATTCACTTCTCGGCAGTTTGAAGCTTTCCTGACCGAGAAGGGAATCCAGCATAGCCTCTCAAGTCCTGGATCTCCATGGGAGATTTATGAGCAAGCAAAGCAAACATTGCTTCAAGGAATGAAAACCTTGTTGCATGATGCCAATCTCCCTGAGAAGTTTTGGGGGGAGTCTTTGAACTCGTTTGTTTATACCTTTAACAGGAGACTGTCATCACCTCTTGGTTGTACTCCCTATGAGAAGATGTTTGGTAAGAAACCTTACATCAAGCACATGAGAATCTTTGGTTCTGACATGTGCGTACACACCCCACAGAGCAACAAGCTTGGGAAGCGTGGGGCACATGGTTTGTTCATGGGATACAAAAAAGGTTCATACAGGGTATGGATGATTGACTCTAAGTCCTTTAAGTTCACAAAGAGTGTTGAGTACAATCCTAAGTGGGGGGGAAATGTGGGAATTTT